GGAATAGGACTTGTATTAAAAATATATTTGCTCTAAGGACATAAAAGTAGATCTGTCAGTATTCTTCTATGAATTAAATTATTAACACTGTGGTTGTTAATGTTTTTCTTTATAAATTTTGTAAAAACAAGCTCTAATAGGACTGTAACTTATATAACGTAACTCATATGTATGAAATTAAAACATGGTCCTTAATATTATTGTTTTTTCATAGTAAATGCTGTTTAAATTTAGACTATAAAGTATATTTTGTTTTGGCAGGCATAAATTATTTCAGAAATCTGAATACAAATTTTCATGTGGAGCTTGTGAAAATACAATTGCAAGCAGAAGTCAGCTATCTAGGCGTGTAATTCTGTGATGGGAAAGAAGAGTAGAAATAGTTTGTGCCAGTCCAGTTGCTGCACTTCCGTTCCAAAGCTGTCCATTCTAAATAGGCTTTGTTTTTGCTTGCAAAATCACAACCATCTTTTAGCATATTATGAAGAACACTTCTTAAAGTTATGTAATCGTAGAATCATCTGATGGCCTGGGTTGAAAAGGACCTTGAAGATCATCTAGTTTCAACCCCCTGCTGTGGGCAGGGTTGCCAACCACTAGAGCAGCCTCCCCAGGGCCCCATCCAGCCTGGCCTTGAGTGCCTCCAGGGATGGGGCATTTTGACTGATTCAGTAATCTGAGGTGATGTTGATTACATATTAAAAAAAACAAACCACAAACACCCCAAAACACACTCATAAGATATCCAGGCATTGAGATCCCCACATAGTTTGGTGATAAACTTTGCATTAAAATTTACTGTGGACCAATAACTAAAACCTGAAAATCTATTAGGAAGTTATTGTAAAGAATGGAAGTATAAAGCAATAGAAAATAAAGACAAAAGCAGTTTTTAAAATACTATGAACTGCTGACTAGCACTGCCTGAGAGTAAAGCTGCTCAGGGACTTCTTCTGTAGTCACGAATTCAGTACACCCAAACCCCAGGGCAGCTGTCCTCCGTATTTAAGGATTTAGGTCTTTTGTGTAATCTTTTAATGGAAAGCAAAGTCCATGTAAACATGCTGTTGGGACAGAGCTGATGTAAAGATCAGGAAGCTGGGAAGCACCTATGTGGTCTGTAGTTTCACTATAGCCAAATAAAGATTAGCCAACAAGAAGTTCTGCCTGTTTTGTCCATAAAAAGAGCTTTCAGTCTGGGGAAAATCACCGCAGATGCTTTTGATGCAGGTGTTGCTGCAGGGAAGCATCGTGCAGAAGCTCCCTTAATGAAGCCCTGCTTCTTTCATGGAGTTCAGCATTGCAGAGCTATAGTTAGCCCGGGATAGTGTGAGAGGGGACTGGGTCAAATTTCAGTCTTATTCTTCATTCTGATACCAGTGGCCATTTGTCCCTGAGAAATTTTAGGCCTTAATCACTTTCTCCCTTTTTGCACTAATAAAATGGGCCTTCTCTAGTCATCAGAGGGAAGTCTCATATGAGAAGCAACATTTTACTTAATTAGTAAAATTTATTCTATGGCTGCATCTAGTAACATTAATCACTTACTGAGCGTGAAGTTAAAGTAAAAACTTCAAAACTCCTTTCATGTGGAAGGAATGCGTTGGAGGTGACCTATTGACCTGAAATGCTGCTTAAAAGCTTTAAAAAGCAACATAAAATTTGTAAAAGATAGTGTGAATAATGTCGCTTTAGAAACTAGTTACTGGTAAACATTCCTGTTCGATAAAGCTGGACCCAGGGGTTAAAGTTCTTTTGTGACTGTTACTTAGAGGACCTGTAATTGTCTGGTTAATGACGTTATATTTCGCTCATTCAAGTGAGAAGCAGATTGTTGAATACCAAATAGTGGGACTAAAGCTGAACAGAGTTTGCCCTGATAAGCTTGAAACTCCCTGGAAGCTGCAGAATGTGCTTCGGATTCCCTAAATAGAAGTCTTTTTCATGTTTAAATATAAAGAAAGGAGGCAAAGTTGTAATTAAACCCATTGGTTTTGCAGGGGGGAGGGTAGGTGCATTTGAGAAAACCTGATTCTGCGTATTTTTACATCATGGCATACTCTTTTTTTTTGTGAGGCACCGGTATCCTCAGTGTAGCACCTACTTCTCCACCTGCATGGCATGTGGAAAGATACCAGCGACAGCAGTAGGGGTCTCTGGGGAAAGAGCACAGAGGGCTTCATCTAAGGCCCCCTCAGCTGTAAGATGGAAATTGTCATCGGCAGAATGCCCACCTTAAATTTCACGAGGTCTGAAAACCGTTTCCTGTTTGTGTGACTGCAGCACTAACAAAGTTTCTGCAGTCGGGGCAGGCAACCCAACCGTGATTTGCCAAGGGCACGCGTTGAGTCAGCGCTTTCACACATCCTGCCATCGCTGGTGCTGGCTGGTCTCCGCTGCTGGGTGACAGTGCCCCATTTATCTTGGCACTTTTCTAACCACAGTGTCAGTTAGGATTAGTGGGAGCCAAAAAAGGTGTTTTGGACTCGCTGCATCTGGCTCCTTGATCTCTGTGAGCAGATGTTTCTACACAAAGTATCTCCTTGTGATAACTGTAGTTCATCTCACTGATGGAAAGCAGCAGTTGGTTTCATGGATCCTCTGGGGTGAAATTTCACATGCCACTCAGCTGATTGAACAGGTTGTTGTCAGTAAATGCAGGGCATCTCATACTCCTCATTTTCTGCTCTTTCCTGCTGTGTTCCCAACCTCTGTGGTGTTGCTGCCCTGTCTTTTCTTAATGCCTGTTCTGGCTGTGCTTGTGATTCTCTGCAGAGCTGGCTTAAATCTGTTTTTTTGCTTTTTCTGTTAATTTTTTGCTAGTTTAGGGCATTGAATTTTGACTTACGTGGAGGTTGCTGATTGTCAGTGCAAGTAGAAGAGGAGTGGAAATGATGCAAAAGTGGGCAGGTCCCTTCCATAGGTAGCAAGCTACTGTGTCCCCTCTCCTTACCTAATGAAATCGCACTCTGTAGTGAAAATTGGAGCAGGGTTGAGAGAGGACCTGAAACAGCTGCTCTCAAGTGCTAGCTTTAAAAGTAGTAACTTTTGCTTCTGTTTCTTGACCTCTCATTCCCCTTTATCAATCCTTTTTCCTCCTATTGATGCTTCATTGAAGACAATGCTTTTTCAATCATTGATAGCTAAAATGTGAAATGAATGAAGCAGAATTCACTCTTAGTCAAGGAATCAAGAGATGTTTTAGGATTGAATTAGTGATTGCTCTGGGAAAGAAACTTGAATTCTTCAGAGCATAGTGAAATGCTGATGGGAATAATAGAAAGGAAGAGGCCAAGAGGCTGGAAGAATGAGAAATGGAGAAGGTCATGTCTCTGCATTTCCAGCAAGGGCTGCACTGAAAGAAACGAGTGAGAAGTGCGTGCACTTCCTAAGTAGAGGGAATGATGATGGAAACCAGCCCAAATGCTGATCTGGTTGAGAAATAACTATGTGGTTATGAGTCAGTAACTGATGTTTTTCTGTTATGGGTGAAACAGTGCCAGTATTGCCACAATCGTAATTTAAAAATTACACAATGTGAAAAATTGTAAATCTCAAGTCACTCTCATCTTGTTGCTCTGAAGTTTTGGTTGATGCATTTCAGAAGTGTTCTTTTTATAGAAATAAGGCTGAATGAGGAGAGTCTTAATGCTAGTTTTAATTCTAGTAAATTTAGTCTAGTTTTACTAGGCCTTTTCTTATTGCCTTAGCCAGGTGATGCAGCTTGCTTTACATGTGTGCTGTTCTCCTGTTTGCTATTGTAGCTACGAATTTGTCATCTGTGCCATCATATTTTAATATTAGTAACGCACATTTGTAGAATCAGATAGACCTTGGACAATCAGATGATGAATTATGTACAAAGTGTTGAGCTGATTGTTTTTACTGCTGTCTTTTGGGGGGATCATTTGGGGGAAAATGCTGAATGTCTGGTTTTGCCCACTTCATTCCCAGTCTTCTGGACACTGCTTTCCCCCTGAGAAGGCAGATATTTGCTAATCAGTTGTTCTTCTGTTGCTTCTGGAATTGTGATGCTGCACTGTTGGAAGGCAACATTGTGTTCAAGGATGAGTCTTGTGCTTAAAGAAAATTAAAAAAACAGAAGCCAGCAACCCTGTGTTTTCAAAATTAAGTATAAGTACGGTACCAAAATATTTTCCTGTGCAGTCTTGCTGTTTCTGCATAATTCTACTCTGTACGTGACATACAAGCAGCAAAAGCCTGGGACTTTTGTTTCTGCAAAACTGCTGTTTATTTCTAATGTCAGCAGTGGTACCAATGTTGTTTCAGCCAGAATCTTCTCCAATCCACTCACATGCTCTCTGCATCGCCTCCTACCTCAAGGTCTTGATAAGTTCAGATGTGTTCCAGATGCCTTGCCTGAAGTACTGATAACTGACCTAAAATCAGAATGGTTTTTGGTTTTGGGCATGAGGGCAGAGACTTAATGTGAGTGACTAGAACTCTTGCCAGAGGTAGCTCTGGAACATGATACAGTAGAGATCTGAATAGTCCCCAGTGCAGGTAGATGAGTTATGACTGTGTTTTGTGTATTATGATGTGTGAAATACTGGGTATTGTAGCAGAAATTGATTGACACTAGACAGAGCAGTAATTCTTAGTCAGCTGTGCGGCGTTTTTTTCTGTAAATGAGACGTTTTATGTATTTTCTTGAATTGTTTGCTCTTCTTTTCAGAATGCCTATTTAGTAGGATATAGTAAGAGACTCTAGAATACAACCGTGTCTCAACTCTGCAGTTAGCCTATATCTAATGGACTGCTACTGAAACAGAAAAAGTGTGTCGTGTATATAATTGTTAAAATTTGTCAATTAAATAGTTAAAATTTATCTGGTAAAATATGAGTGTTCTGAAGTATTCCAAAGCATTAATCTTCTGTTCAAGATCATATTTTGGAGGGCGCTTTTAGAGAAGGAACAAAATCCATCCAGCGTGGTTGTCTGCTCTCAGTATAATCTACTGTTGCTGTCATTTTTCTAGGGGTCACCTCTGTTCGATCTTATCAAGCAGTCAAAAGAACGAGAAGGCCAAACTGATCAACCTGAGCCTACTTCCACTTTCAATGTGCCTTTCCAACATAATCACACTGCAGCAGACCTGTAAGTGATGTGCATACTTGAGGTCTAGTAAAATGTGAAGTTAATATTGCCCTTAATAGTTAAATCCACTTGTGTTCTGTTTTCTTACTTGTTAGGCTTGGTACTTAGGTTATGTTCAACTGTTCTATTTACTGCTGCTTATTATACATGTAAATTTTGCTAAAACAAATTCTGAAATATTCTTTTCCAAGCCCTATCAAACTTGTAATTGCAAACTGTTATCTTGCCTAGGAATAAATAAGTCACTTTATGAGGTATTTAATCAATAACTTGGATTTTTAGTTCCTGATATGGGAATAACAGGTTACGGTAGCAATTAATTTCTTCTAATGGAGGAAGAGGGAAGAGTTCCTGCAAATATTATTTATGTAAAATTGTTCCTTTATCTTTAATGATAAGTGCTTAATATATGTTGACTCTCCAGCTATCTTTCTCCTGTGAGATCTCCTAAGAAGAAAACATCTGGACCTTCTCCAAGTGCTACATCCACTCCAGATGCTCAGCCAGGTGTGAACCCCCAGACACAGAAACCACAGAAATCTACCTCCCTATCTCTGTTCTACAAAAAAGGTTTGTTGCTTCTGTATGTGCTGAAATAGCAAAATTATATCTTGTTATTTATCCTTTTTTGGGTTTTGGAGTTCAACATTTCTTAAAAGGCTATAATAGAATTTGTAGTAAGCACCGTGCAAACCCTCAGCTGCCGTTGGAAGAAAACATAAAATGGTGCCAGCAGGCTAATGCATGCACTTTACACACTTCAAACGGAAAACTTATCTACTGATTGTAAGAATGGCCATATGGGCTCAGATGAAGGGTTCATCTATCATAGTTTCCTTTATTCAACAGTGACCATAAACAGATGTCATAGGAAGCTTAAGAACTGGGCAAGCATATATGGTGCTTCCCTGGATGCTTTCCCAATCTTTGACTTTCTTCAGCTTGGAGGTTTTCTTAAGCTTTTTGTGATGTGTCTGCTTAGTAACTCTCAGTAGATTTGTGTTCGAAATGCTTGTTCAGACTCTCTTTGAATCAACATAGACCTCCGTGTGCAGCATTGTTTGGTGTGGACTTCCATGTGTCCACTACCTGTTGTATGAAGAATCTTTTCCATTTATTTTGAATATGGCTTCTATTACCTTCATTTGATGGCTCTTGTAGTTCTTGTAGTGGGAGATGGTGAACGTTCAATTGCTGTCCATCCTCCATAGTGCTCCTTTTATTTTGTGTACCCCTATTTATTACTATTTTGATTTATTTTTCTTCTCTCTTTCTGAAGTGTATCTACTGGCCTATCTTCGACTACGTACCCTATTCTTTCGGCTTCTGTCTGAACATCCTGACCTGGAACCCTTGATCTGGACCCTCTTCCAGCATACACTCCAAAATGAGTATGAACTTATGAGAGACAGGCACTTGGACCAGGTAACATTAACGAAAAAGTTTTTAAAAGTTTAAAAATACTCTCTGGAACAAATGTTTCTTATACATTCTTTAGCCATTAGAAATTGTAATCTGAGTTTTTATTTCTCTATTGATCACTCAAAGGAAAAATTAATTTAGAGTGAAGTCTATCATCTCATTTTTTTTAAGTAGTGGCAGTTACTTACTATGGGATCTTCAAATAACATTTACAGCTATCTTCAAAATAATGAAGACACAACAAATTTTCCAAAAATTTGCATTAAAAAATACTGATTTTTCTGTGGGAAGACAATGTGGGTGGCTGATAAATGTTTTGTTATTCTGCTCTAAATTGCAGCATGTGAAATGAATTTGAGAAGATACTATCAGCTCCAAATGGTTGATTGTCATACAGAGCTGGAGGGAACAGTAGTTGATTTATATTCTGGAAGTTCTTATGAAGTTGAGTTGCATGCTATCTCACAGAGCACAATCAGTACTAGAAAGCTCATCTATTGATTTATTAACTTGAAACAAAGAAGCTGAATTAATTTTCTACATTTCCAGTTGTCTTGTCTTGTTTCTTTAATAGATCATGATGTGTTCCATGTATGCCATATGCAAAGTAAAGAATGTAGATCTTAGATTTAAAATGATAGTTTCAGCATACAAGGAGCTTCCCAACACAAATCAAGAGGTATGGAAATTCTCTAATGTTATCCCTCCATAAAAATGTTATAAACTAACTGTTTCTTTCTGTTTGTCTAAAACAAGAAAAACCCCAAACTACACTTGAAGATACAAAAGAAAACTGATTCACTGCATCTCCATTTTGTGGAGGAGAAAGCTGGCTCCAATACTAAATGTCTCTTTAAACATCTTGCACAAATAGTTTGGTAACTCTCTTCAGAAAGCAAACTTCATTCCAGTTTTCTACTTAAAGATACTAAATAATGGGTTATGATTCTCTTTGGAGACTAGATGAAAGATTCAGGTCTAGTGTTAATAGGATTTTCAAAGACAACCCAACTTCTTTTAGGAGTTGTCTACCTTAGTGTTAAGGGGAGATAAGCAGATAACTTTCTGTAGAAGCTTTCAATAGAAATAAGATATCAAATAGAGATGTATGGTTATGTGTCAATCACATATGTATGTATTAAAGTTGCAGGCTTAATTCTGATACTACATTCCTTTCTTTGTAAGGGCCTTAATGTACTTACATTTTTGCATAAAATGATAATTAAATCAATAGACAAACAGTTAATTGAATTGTAGACGTAGGCATCCTTTTAGCAGCAGAATTTCTCATAGTTGTGTTTATGTGTCTTGGCTAAACTCCAGGCTTTTGTCTCCAAGCCTAAAGAACTATTTTATCCACCTCGGGTCAGTAATGATGTTTTTAGCCTTCCAAGGCATGCACAGTAGCGAAGCCCTTGACAATTGTGTGTGTGAAAGTAAATGGAGCTTAAATTTGGAAAATGTTGTTATAGTACTGATGAACTGCTTTTGCAATAAGGGGCTGTTCCAGTTAATTAAGTAGGTGCCTCTACTGATTTTCATACATATTTGGGAAAAAAAAGTTAGAACAGTTCTAAATAGCAGTTACAATGGCTTGTATACAATACCCATGCCATCTTAGCTCTTACCTAACAGGTTTTTTTTGAATGGCTTTATAGCTTGTCAAATATAAAATTATCTTTTTTTAAAAAACTGTGTATGATCTTCTCACCCCATGTAGACTTTCAAACGTGTTCTTATCAGGGAAGAACAGTATGACTCCATTATAGTCTTCTACAACTTAGTGTTTATGCAGAAGCTGAAAACAAACATTTTGCAGTATGCCTCCAACAGGGTAAGCTGTTGTTTGGTATTAATTATTTAATAGAATAGGAATATAGAGACAATAAAACCTTATGATTATTTTATTATTTTTATAGCCTCCCACTCTGTCACCTATCCCACACATTCCTCGCAGCCCTTACCAGTTTTCCAACTCTCCTCGGCGTGTCCCTGCTGGCAATAACGTCTACATCTCACCCTTGAAGAGCCCATACAAGTTTTCCGATGGGTTTCAGTCACCCACAAAGATGACTCCAAGGTCTAGGTAGGTTGCTGACAAGCATTTATTTGACTAAATTAAAGGTATTTTGGGGATTTTAGTGGAAGCAAGTTAGAAAACAACACAGTCTAGTTAGTTAATAGTCTGTGATTATTATATATTTTCTGTCTGAAAGTTTGTGTCCTGTATTTGTAATCTTTATTCATCTTTGAGTGCTTTTCTGTTTCTGTTTTGTCAGTGTGCTCAAGGAGTTCAGGGGATTTTTCTTTTTTTTTTTTTTTTTCTTTTTTTTTAGAGTAGTCACATCCAAGAGGGTTTTTCTGACCTAGTTGCTTAAATGTTGTTGGCTTTGACTCTGGATCACACTCCTGGAAAACATAGATGAGCTTTGTACACTTGTTTAAAGGGCAAATACTTTTGGAACAAAATGGTTCAGAGTATTTAGTTGACTGAGCAGAACATTTCAAACTGTTGGTCACTAGTTCTCAGCAGATGAGGATGACAGCAAATGTGCAAGTCTCCAGTGGCTTTTCCAAACTAGGATCAAGTGAGTTCCATTGCACCTGGCCACCTTTACAGAAAAGTTAAAATATCATTGTATATTTCAGGCTGAAGTCCTGCATGGTTTTGATTAGCAAACACCTAATGATGGAAGGATGATTATCTGAGCACCCAGCACTGAAACGTCTTCCTGATGATAAGGGATGGACTGTGGAGGCCTCTGAGTCTTTCAAGCCACAGTTTCTTTTCTGTCTGTATGGGATGGTTGATTTGGCGATTCAGCATTCACTGGCCCAAATGGAAACCTGAACAATCTCAACACAGTGAAATGCAGTCTGGGTGCGCACTGTTAATGCCGAGAGGAAGAGACTTTGTTAATGTCTTATGCTAGCTGTGCACATTAGTGGATGCGTCTGTCATTGTTAAATGTATATTAATCTTAAACACTTCTTTATTTGGCAGAATTTTGGTGTCCATTGGTGAATCATTTGGGGTGAGTTTTAACATTTTTAATGTCTGGTCTTGAATGCATGTAACTTTTGGAGGAATGGGGTAGCCTGCTGACACCTGCAGAGCTGGCCAGTGAGTGTCTGTTTTAATGTAGTGTTCTATGGGATCTGTAAGCACAAAGATTACAGGGGTGTCCTGTTAATTCTTTTCAGATATCCAGTGTTTTGCATTTTATTTTAGTTGCTTTGAAAGAAGGTAGAGATCTTAAAATGCAGAGTTTTAGAACTTCTAATTTTTTTTAGTGGATAATCTGGAAAGTCTGAGTAGTTTCAGGATTTACTGGCAATTATTTCTTTATTTTCTTGTAACTTCAGACTTCTGAAAAGTTTCAAAAAATAAACCAGATGGTGTGCAACAGTGACTGCCAGCTAAAACGCAGCGCAGAAGTAAGTGCTGCTCCTAAGCCACTGAAGAGGCTGCGCTTTGATATAGAAGGGCAAGACGAAGCAGATGGCAGGTGAGAGATTGTTCTTGGCTTTTCAGTTAACTTACATAAATTTGGTTCTCAGGGCTTTCCATCCTGATTTCTTCCTGACACCCTAACTTCTGTTAATTTGTGAACTTGAGTAAATATATTAAATGAGAGATGGTAGCATAATACTTCTCAATTAGACACTTTGATGTCAGAAGCAATGATTTACTCAGTGCCTATACATCCAGCATCCAAGCGTTACTGTTGAGTGCTAAACCTTGCTGTCGTCTTTAGTCAGTCTTTTAAAAAAACAAACCCCAAATTTTTTAGATGTATGAGAAATCAAGCAACTCTTTACTGTGGAGGAAAAAAGAGTTTGCATCATTGTAAGAGAAGGCAGTAGCACTGAAATAAGCTAGCCTTGTATGGTTAGGTTTACTAGGATAAAAAGCTAGGTTTGTTGTTTTGTTTTTTTTTTTAACTTAATCAAATGTTTTCTGTCTGCAGCAAACATCTACCCCAGGAGTCCAAGTTCCAGCAAAAGCTTGCAGAAATGAGTGAGTATTATTTTTTTATTAACTGCACAGTTGTGAGTGCCTCGGATAAAACAGTTTGTGCCCACTCAGATAAAAACATTGCTTAACATTGATATCATTTCAGTAATTTGCTTGGTTTTTTGTACTTGCTCCATTTAATCTTGAAAATGCAGATGATAAACTGGAAATCCTCAAAAGCTTTTTTGAGGACATTAAATGTCACAGCAGCATGAAGGTGCTGTATTACATGTGAATAAGAAAAGGAGCATGACACATTCTTCCTAGAAACTCTAGAATTCTTGAAATGGAATTAAAAGCTTGACAAAGCTTTTCCATTTGTTCCAGTGACAGACCCTTAGCTGACAGCTTGCAGGTAGAAATCAGTAGTAATCACAGCAGCATTTAGTTGACCAGAACACTTTCTAGGTGATTACAGTAAAGGTAAGTTATATACACAGGAAAATTGCATGTAATTTTGTTTATTGCTTTGCTGTCTTACTAAAATGCTGGAGACTGCATTTTCTTCTACTGCTGATCCGCATTTCTTTCAGATTTTATGGGATCACTTTTCTGATTTTCAAATACAATTGAAATCTAGCTCATGAAAAGCAAAATGTCCTAGTCCCCACAACTGAGTTTGTATTTTCCACTCCTGAGAAGGAACACGCTTGGTCTGCCCAGGCATTCTCACTCTCTGGTAGAATCTGATCTCTGTAGCTGAGTGGGTTTCCCCATGAAAAATTCTTACCTAGCAAGTGTTTGTTCAGGTATGAGTACAGATCCAGGCACCTCTTGTTTATTTTAGGATAGGGGAAATGTTTCAGTGTTTACTTGTGGCAGATGTTAAGAAGGGATGTTCTGCTTCACGTCCAGTTGTGTTAGCGTGTCACTGGGGGGAAAAGGCATTTCCTGGGCAGGCTGGCTGTGGGATGTGGGGACTGGTCAGCACATAGCATCTGCCTGGCAACAAGATGAGATCCCTACGTGACACAGCCCATTGGCTTGTCTTAAGGATGAAAACAAAGTGAAGGTACAGAAGCAATAAGAACTTCAGTGAATGGTTGGAATGAATTTATTAAGATGTGTGAGATTGAGCAGAAGTTGCTGAAGCAACACACTAATTACATGTTTACTTTTAAAATGTGGGATTTATTTTATTTAGAATAGTGTAATTAAATTATTTGTGTCATTAGGAATTTTTACAAGAAATAATCATGTCCAAAGTAATTCTGAAGAAAGTATTTATTTTTTCATTTTTTATTTTTTAGCATCTACTCGAACAAGAATGCAAAAGCAGAAACTGAATGATGGAAATGATACCTCAGCCAGTGAAGAAAAGTGAGATTCTTCTCAGGACCAGGGGCTGCACTGCAGACCCTCTTAGATTGTTTTTGTTTTACAGCCTTCATTAATTGAGTTGCTTTTTTAGTTGCTTTTTATTCCAAACTGCTAGTTGAAAGCATTTGGACTTTTTAAATTTTTAAATGTTTTTCATGATACTTTTGCCTATGATGTAGCATGTATACAATGTAAGCCACTGAATTTAATTTATATATATATTTTTTGAGGATTTTAAAACAGACTTGGAAGGTGTCTTAGTTTCCTATTGCAACATTACTGATTTAAGCCAATTCAGTCTACCTTGACTGAATTTTTCTGTCTAAAGTCAAAATATTATCTAGAATGATTTGAAATGCACTAATTTTGTTTCTTAGATTTCATTTGTAGATTTTCATTACTTGCAAGTTTTGTAAATGAGGGGCCAGATACTGCAAAGATTTCTGTCTCTGTATATAATTAGCGCATCAAATTCCCATTAATTTAAACTGCACAGCAGTCGAAGACCTTGCAGAGTCAGGGCCTCACATTAGAAGTACAACGTGAATTCAAGGTGAACTCATTGCATAGCTGTACTACTGAAACCAATACTTAGCGTTTTGTAGTAGCCCTTGCCGCAGTGTAATTTCAGAGGGCAGTTACACTGTCCATCAGTTTGAATTTCATGGAATGTGAATCCCACAGAGATTCCTCCCAGAAGCTGAGGCTTCTTACCATATGCCAAGTACTTGATGTGCACTTTCTTACCTTGGAAAATCTCAAATATTTTAAAAAAAACCCAAACAACCCTATACCTAAATCATACCTGGTATATGTAAGATTTCAAAATTATAATGATGTAGAATTTTCTTGACTTCTTCAAATTTTTGCCTAACTGTAGGCAAGTGAAATAGCTTGAGACAGGCACCGAACCTGTTTCCTACAGCTGAGCACCAAGTGTCTCCAGTTGGGCTCCAGGTAAGAGTAGCCTGGTCTCTGAAAGCACAGGGCATCTCCCGTTGGCCTTACTGCAGCATCTGCACAAAAGCCGAAATTGATGAGCCCGTGTTGGGAAACTCATTCTGCCTTGTTTTACTGAAAAGGCAGTTTAATAGGCAACTTGTGAACTGTTACAATTAGCAAAAAAAAAAAAAAAACCCAAACCCCAAAACAGAAAAAAAAAAACCCAACCCAAACCCCAAAACTTTTTTCAGCTCATGAGTTTGTAAGTTACTGATTCAGATACTGGAGTTTTTCTTGCAATGATAAAGGGTTTACAAAATAGCCAGTTAAGGAAAGCACATTTTACTTCCAGTGGATTAAAATGTAAGTAAAGAAATGAAATTTAGCTTTTGCAGCTACTTAAATTAAAACAAGTATGAATAGCATGCTTTTCTACTATTACACAAACATTTTAAAACAGCATCTTCTCTGGGTAGCTTATTTAGAAATTGTTTAGCTGAACTTAGAATACTTACACTAGCACATTTTAAAGATTGGTTCTTGTGTTGACTGGAAGCTAATCCTAGAGCTACTAAAAATTCTACAAACAGCACACTGATTTGTCAATGAATTTTAAAATAAAATTGAGGTTTTTTTTTATTCTCAGTATGGCTTCAACTTTCTTCCTGAAAAATGTACAGAAGTGTTAGGGTACCTTACGTTTATTTTCTCACTTTTTGCAGAGTTTTACAGACAGAATATATGTTGACAGTGGGGTACACTGACTGTAAGCTCTGTTACAGCCGTTGAAGTTACTCCATGATCCCTTGGCTAGAGGAGTAACATTACAGAACCCAGTACCTAAACAGATTCATTATTTCTTTACTGTGACAATGCATTTTTTTTTTGTTCAGACTGAAGGCTTTCCATCAAATGTATGATAATATTTTATACAACTGATCAGTTTCTCTCCTTTCGCGATAAAATAGCTTTTAAAAGATTTATAGTTGGTAATTTTCTTTTATTAGATGAGAAGGTGACTTCATTTGGTAATGATGTCCTGCTGTATCACACTTCCACCATGATTCTGCAGCTGATAGGAGCAGAGGTCACTCCATTTCCAGTGATTCCCTCTTGGTGCAGAGCTGCAAATACTTGTTCTGTTGGGCTTGTAGTTACCTTCAGAAGTTTCCATAGGACGTTCTGGAAATGTTATTCTCACCAGACCTTTTGTTCTGGGGTCACCATTGGTAACACTCCTGGCAGACGCAGGCCCATATCGTGGTCTGGGTTGCTGTCACAGCCCTTGCAGAGGTGCTTGAGGCAGTCCTTCAGGGAAGTTAGTGGCCCCATTTAGAAGTGTTCCTTTCATTTCAACACCCTACTTTCATAATCAATTATTTTGTTCTCAGAACTGCTGAAAACAGCCCAGGATGTCAAAACTCCAGTGTTAACCCGCTGTGGCTTTCTGGGCCAGGTATCTGGCTGTAGGCATGTCATCCTGTACAGCTCCCTGCCATTGCTTTATTGGAGTTCATAGGTGCCAGGGATTCAACTCTGCTGAACTTGCTGTGTTATTTATAGCATGGGTGTTCATGACCATGCTTAGAGCCCAATGTGCACTGGCTAACTCGCCAGTCCCTGCCCCCTTTTCAGAGTCTTATTTTTAAGGTGATACATATGCAAATAAATGTATATTGAAACTAATGGCTTTTTATCAGAGTTGGAAAGCTATGTTTCAGAGTATCTTTCTGATAGCAAGACCTTGTTGTTACTCATAACGGGCTAGAGTATTGAAACTGTATTCCAGGAAAACAGGATTCAGAGGAGAACAGTTGAACAGAAAACATGACAGGCATTTTAGGTTTCTAATGGTAAGGACTGCACCACTGATCAAATTCTTCCTTTAAGCACTGTGGAGAAACATACGCTTGAGGAGAAAATTTGCCTCTGCCTAAGCTCTATGTGTAAAAATGAGGTCAAGTGAATTGCATCTCAGAAAGGCTTGTTTCTCTCCGTTGACTCTAAGGGGAATTTAATCTATTGGCTACGCATCTCAGGATGGATGAGCTGGCTCCCAGCTTCTTTATTTGCAGTTTTATACCTTAATCTCTTCCTGCTTTCCCCTCTTTCCAAATGCTGTTTGTTCTTATGTGTCACAGGAACATATTTCTTCCTCCCTGCCTGTGACTTGCAAGTGAAGAATTTTGTCCTTGTAAGTAACAAGTTCCTCACAGGTACTGGAGGAACTGCATGTTTTCAGGTACGGTGGCTGCAGGAAGATACCTCCTGTGTCAAACATGAAACAGCTGGAGAAGATTATGGCTGTGTGATACTGCTGCAAAGTAAAAGTTGAAATATTTTAAAATATAACAAATAAGTTGGTCATAATGTACATTTGCTTCAGAAACAATTCTTGGTGTTTTTGAGGACAGTTCTATGAATCGTTAGTTCACTGGGGCATTAATTTCTTTGAAAGGTGGAAATACACTTATGCAAATTTTCCAGCTTCTTTTTTTGCAGACTCACTTTTCATTCTGCTTACAAATGCTTTATCTGATGGCAGTTATTTCCTGAAAAACACAAATAATCTTTAAAATATGTTTCTGAAATATTCTGTTTTATTTATTTTTTCCCACACTACTAACTACATAGTCAACTCAGTTTACAAGTGTCAGAGTTTCTCCACTTTTACTGAAAAGAAAGGAAAAAACCCCACTCATGCTTTTAAAATATTATGGCATTTTTATTAATGGTCTATTAAAACCAGGCAAGTATATAAAGAAACAAGACATCAAAACATATTTTTATGTTCAGGCTGTAAACTTCTACATCATTAGGTGGTAGCCAATGAGTCCTCTCTCTATGGGGTAATTAAATGCTTTGTTTTACAAGCAAAGCCCATGGAAATTGTTCAGGTCATATAAAACCAGCTGTTTACATAGTTATCAGACGAGCTCTGGAGGTGGGTACTGGATGACAGTGCAATGCTGGCTCTCAGCTTCTGTAACTTAAGAGAAACTTTAAATGAACCCTTTGTCTTTCAAATTCCATTTGATTCATAAAATTATCTACCTGGTTGCCTTTCTGCAAAGTGGAACATCACTCTTTGAACCCCAGATACTATTTATCCTTGACTTTATTTCCACTTTTTAACTAATACTTTTTTGTCTGTGATGTCCTAAAACAGAACAATATTTAAATACTTAATGAAGTATTTAACCTACAAGACCCACAAACATGAGTTTGTTGCAGACCATCTCACAATGGTAAAATGCATCCCTAATTTCTTCTCAAATGTCCCATGATTTGGTTTCAAGCACATGTTGATACGCATGCATCCACATTTAACCACCTAAGCCAGTGTATTTTTTTTTAAACACTGACCTTTAAGTGCCAAGGAAAGTGCATGCAAATGAAAGTTAAAAACATTAAATAAATAGATGTCTCTACAAATGTAATGCTATCACATCCAGGTCAGATGATGCATATTACATGAATAAAAGCCAACACTGACATATTGGATCTTTAGAATCACCCTCATTCAGTCCAGAAATGCTTCTTCTCAATTACAGGCTTTATCAATTACTCTAAAAATGCAACTAGGCTTTAATGTGTACAGTAGGTTGGAAATTATGAGCAGGAAGGAAATAAATTTAAAAAAAAAATGTCACTATTGGTTATATGAAGCCAAAAACGCCTTGCTAAGAAAGCATGCCATTTTGACTACAGTAGCTGTTGAACTACTGTGTTATGAACTTGAGCCAGCTTAGGAGAGTGGATAGCTCCAGTGCTATCACTCCATGGAATGGTATCTCCAGGGAGCCAGGCTCTTAATTGAGCAGAGAACGTTTTTGATTAGATGTTGAGTTAGAAACAATCATACAGTTTTTGTTTGGTCTTTAAGTAAAACAACAGAAACATTTGGAGAGACCTGTTATAGTACATTTCTTGGGAAGGCCAAAGTGACTGAAAGGCCGTTACAAGTGGCCCAGGTGCCAGCTGGTTCCATTGCCAAGTGAGGCTGGCTGTGTGCCAGCGCGATGCCGTATCATAGGGGGCAGGATCCAGCACCAACTGCTACCCACAGGTTAGGCTGTGGCGGTACACCCTCTTTCTGTGTGCTGCTCTGGCTAAGAAAGTCCTGGCAGGTGAATCTGGCAGTTCTTAAGCCTAGGACTGAAAGGGACAGACTTCACACCAGCCATCGCTTCCTTACCCTAAACATCTGGAATTACCTAGCACTGTCATAGAATTACCTTGTGTCTATGCTTTGGTATGATTAGTGTTGGGCTCTGTCATATAAGGTTTGCAGTAAAGTTGTGTCCTCCAATGATGCTGTTTTAGTGTCTGCCCTGACCTCTATTTTTGTGCCTGCTTTTTAACACAAACTTATCAAAACTGATCTCGTCCCCCAGGGAAGCTGTGGTATTGATGAAACTGCATTATGTACCGGAAAGTTTTTGACCAGTTCTGTTTGAATACAAAATACTGACACAGCTGCTTAAGTATGGACTTATGCTGCTGGAGGAAGTGTACTGTCACTGAGGGGGTGGCAGAACATGCTTGTTGGCAGCAGATGATCCAATATATTTCTGCTGAGGGTCTGAGGCATATGTCTCAAACACAAGCAATGTTTTACCACAACATTTTCAAAAATAATTTGCTTATGGTCCTCTTCCTAAGTGAATTCTGCTGTCTGCAGAATTCACTTAGTCTGCCTCGCCCTTCCACTCGCACCAGCAGGGACTGAGGTAAAGAGAGGCACTGCTCGCTACTTCTCATTGTCTTCTCTGAGCATGTGCTTCTCCTTTTCCTCTTCCTCCTCCTCAAGGAACAGGATTGTTTGAGAAATGATCCTCCAATATAGTAAAGAACAGTTACTTCTACTTCAGAAATGAGGAAATGAGGCTGCGATCTTTTAAGGAATTAGGTTCTTAGAAACCACATTTGAGGATTAGAAAATGTCATTTAAGGATTCTGTGGCACAGCAAGGAACTGAAGGAAGGTTGCATGACTAATTATATTAATATGCTGAACCTGGTCATCCATCTTCTTCCATTCTCCATTTATAAAATACTACAAAAAGCACTTAAAGCCACTTCACCCAGTCAGAATTTTAAGAGAAATAATTTTTCAGGGTTAATTCACAGTTGCCTATTAGAAAATTCAAGTAAATGCTTCATGAGCTCAGCATCTTCTGTAATGGTGCAAACCTCCCTTCATGCAATACTGCGTAAGGTTTCATCTTGACTCACTTTAGTCACTTAGAAATAAAGCATCTGCTCTACCTTAGCTATCCTGTCCCCTCAATGGTCAGTGATGAGAGAGAGGCATGTCCAGAGGGTAACTCCTCTCACCTCAAACAAGCATGGAAGGTAAGTGGTACGGTCACCTCACCACACTGACCAAAAGGAGAACCTGAAACTATGTACTTGGACAAGGTGTCCTTATTGCCATGAGGAAAATAATATGAGTTTCACTCATTATTTAATTGTAAGACCCATTTTATCACTTCAGAACTATCTTTTTCTCAATTTTTCTTAAGATGATCTGTCTGGGGATGTATATTAAGACAGGAATAAGCAGACGACAAGTGGAACTTCGTTTTCCTTCAGAATTTTTTTTGTCTTGCTAACAAGCAACCAGATGGTTTTCTCAGTACCAAAACACACAACACAATAATTCACATTCAGACAAATACTGTGAATGCTTCCTGGCCCATTGGGGTGCAAGGGAATGTGCTTGGTGTAATGGAAAGGAAGATTCTTTTCATTCTGTCTAGAACAATGAACACACGTGCCAGGAACTCAAAACTGTACTATCCAGATGAAGTTCTTCATGGTTTATGTTTTTATACTCTAAATAAACACCAAGTGAGACACATCCTCCTACCAATCAGAAAGCCTCTTATCCTGAAGAATTTATATTGCTCTATTATATATTCAGAAAAACAAGTTTGTATCTTCACTGGATGATACACCAGGCAAAAAGAAGCCCACTATGGGATATTAACTTAGTTTGGTGATAAAAGTATATTATGAAAGTTTTTGAAACAAACAGGTCACTTTCCCATAAAATCCAAATGCAGGCTGTTTAAAAAAAAAAAAAAAAATTAAAAAAAACCAACTGAAATCAGACATAAGATAATGGCAGCTTAGTTTGCTTGACTTTAAGTGGGAACGGGTAGTTAATGTATTAGATTTTTGCTGGTAAATTCTGACCATTGGCAATGAATGCTCACCATACATCCATGCTGTAGCCATCTTTACAAAACCTATATGTTACCAGACTTTTACACATTTCCTAAGCTGATGGACACCAAGTCTTTCTTTCCAAACCTTTGCACATTCTGACCATGGATAAGTTCTCCAAAGGAGAAGTATTCCCAGGAAGGAAGAGGACGTGCTCTTCAGCTTGGTGGTCGTCAGACCTCAGTTTCGGAATGCTCCCACTCGGCTTGCTTTGCTAATGAAGTTTTTCAGGAGGTCGTGGTCCATTTCTGCAAAGCCTTGAGTTTGTGTAACAACAGTTAAATGGTTTATGCAAAATCTGAAGCAAAATTCTTCCAAGTCCTAGGAATAAATTGAGGTAATTTGTAACATGAATGACTGATAGCAAAATTATTATTTTTTCTGTTTCAAATCTGTCATTTAATTAGCAGAGAATATACAAGTTTTTTCACAGTTACTAATCCCTTTTCTGATCAGTTTGATTAGATCCCAAATGACAGGATGAAATTTGTTCATACAAACTATTCAATAAACCCCTTCCGAGAAAACAGGAGTAGGCACCTAAATCAACTCTAGAACTCCACCACATTTGCTGAGCTCATTATTAATGTTATTAATGTTATTAATGCTGAGTTATTAATAACTGAAGCCATCAACTTTCTCCACATAAAACTACTAGAGCATCAGTAACTCCTTTCTTTTCCTCCTTGCACTAAATTCAGAAGTGGTCCTGTGAAAAACAGCAAATATCCTAGTCTTGCTGAAAATAAAAGCAAAATATGACGTAACATTCAATGATGCTTGCTTAACACAAACTGGATGTTAGGATACATGTGTCTTTCATGGCAAACCTAGGAACTGGGATTCCTAGATAGCAAAAGTGGTTCTGTCCTGTACCGATGTTGCTCTAACAGGATGTTCAGACGTTCAGCACAGGATAGGTACAAGCCATTATGCCATGCAACCATGATTCACACAGCAAATTTTGCCCACTCAAACTCCTCACAATAGCAGCAATCCTTCTCTCCAGGTACTGGGTCAATCCCTTTTAGCTGGTGCCTATGCAACAACTTGCTGTTGAAGGAAAATGAATTACTTTCTGCAGAAAGCAGAGCTAGAACCATCAGCAACGCAAGTCTAAATTGGTGGTATGATCCATAAACTCTTCAAGAGTTACAGCAAAAAAAGGTCTCTTAATCTATGCCAGTTTTATTCTATGTTAACTACACAAACATTTCTGCCAGGGCATAATAGCAGAAAGAAATTTATCAGAATACATGTACGTTTCCCTTTGAAATCTTTTCCTTAGATTGAATGTTTCAAGTCTATTGCCCCCGTCAAGATGTACCTAAAGCTTTAACAGATGGCAAGCAGCATAAAATATCCTTTAAAAAGAAATAAAGTAGCAACAATGCACAGAAGCAAGTCATCTCTCTCATCAAAAAGTGCTGAAAAAGCAAGAAAATTAATGGGAATAGAAGAAGAAATAAAAACCACAGAAGAAATAAAAAAATGTAGAAGAACAATGTAGAAGATCAATGACACTGACAGCTTAAGTTTTCCTTTTTTTTTTTCTTTCTTTTGCAGTGTTCACATTTAATGACAAAAATTGAATTAATTCTATCTTTTCAAACTTCCAAAATATCAGGCTTTTCTCATAATCCTTCTTTGGACAGTTTTCTGCTGAAGTGCTGATACACTACACATGGTTCTCAAACCAATTTTTACTCTATTAATGTAGTATGCCAGAAGATCCTGTCTTATTTCACAATTCCATAGACAGAGACTATCCCATGTCTTTGATAAAGACATCTTTGCCACTCTTCTCTGAAGCAGTTCTACTATATCCCTTTCTGAGTAATGGATGCAAGGAGGAGGGTGACAATGCACTCCAGAGTTTGGCACATGCTGCAGCCTGGGCAGGTGAACCAATTCATCATCCGATGATTGTGTTAAAATACTATATGTTTTAAAATTGTACTAGGTATACAGAATAAAACACTGAATCATAGAAGGGAGAGGAGGATAACATATATTTAGTCATCTAGCCAATCCCTTTTATTGTGTTTCAGCCATTATAAACTCTAGTACTTTGTCCAGGCCAGTTTTACTACTTCACAATACACCTAAATGTTTGTTTAACTACTTCATCTGACACAGGTCAACTAAAGGCAATTCTACTTTGAAGATGTTAAAAACTGTTGAAAAGCTTGTAAGAGGAGAAACTCCAGAGTAAACTTTTAATGAAAACCGCTGCTGTTGGGAGAATCCAATCATTTGGTCCTCCCTTCCTGTCCAGTCTTCCCTGATATGCTGGGCTTCTCCCACCACAACACGCTGAAAGTATAATTCCTCTCTGCCTTGTAAGGGGCAGCTGATCATCTCATTATCTACTCCTCTGATGTTATCACTCTTCCAATTTACAAAACTCACTGACTTCCAGCCTCCTCTTTGCAAGTCCTACACAAATTCATCTCACTTAGTACGCTGCCACCATACAACACAGACTATTGCAACATTTTTAACTATTTTTTTTTGTTTCAGTTCCTTCTTTCTACTCACTTCCTATACCTGGAACTGTTTCTCAATCCATTCTATTACACTTCTAGTCTCTCCTGCTTTAAAACATCATCCTACATTTTGCAGCCAGGCAAAAGCAAAAACTAAGTATTTTTAAAAACATTGACACCAGCTACACATTTTGGCTCTTCTAATAGGCAGTCTTCTTTGTTTGGCTATATTAATTTTATTCTTATAAAGCAGAAGAAATCTTGAACAGAAACATGAGGACTTCTCAACTAAGATGCACGGTTATAACAACAGCTACTAAGTCTAAAATACATACACAGACTTCTTGAATAATAAAAGCCACCACATCATTATTTCCACAATCAGCATACCACTAAGTTGTTGAGAAAAGGAAAACAGCTTTGAAAGTATTTGTCTGTTTACAAAAAAAGTGCTTGCAGTACTGCTGATAACAGGTTGAGTGCTAGTGAAACATTCCAGAGCCAAGGGCAGACCAGATGACAGGATATGGTGAGAGGAATAACAATAGGTAATTTGTTGCATGTCAGCACGATTCATTGTAAACAACGTGGCAAAAGTGGATTTTTATATAAGCACAAGGGTAAATAGGGAGGGAATTTACCTGTAAATACCCACTGCCTGTAAAAGGCAGTACCAGGATGACTGTACCAGACACCAACAGACAAAACGATCAGACAGAGAGCTTGGGAAGTGAACAGACAGTGCAAAATCCAAAGGTGGAGAAGCAAAAGGCAGTGAGACATTTGCATGCGATGCCATGCGAGATGACAAGGCAGGAAGCAGATTAAGAATCTGATTCACAGGTGCAAGCCAAAAGGCCAGGAAGAGAACACTAGTAGCTGCCTTTTTTTACAGCTTAAAAAGCAGAAAACAAGCGTCTGAAAAGCCAGGAAGGGAAACTGCAGTAATCATGCCTCATCAGGTAAATGCATTTATGTTTATATTAAACAGCTTCATTTCTCAGAAAACAACCGATTGCCTGAAGAGAAGTTCTCCTTACCTCAGCTTCATATTTGACAGCGGCGGAAAGAAGAGCAATGGCATTCTCTTCACAAATGCCTTGTTTGATTGTTTGCTGGCAAAGCTTTTTCAATCTGTTTTCTCTATAAAGTGTTGCCAAATCTAGCAATCCTGTGAAAATTCATACATCTTTAAGTATCCTGGTGCAAAACATATATATTTATTTTCAAATTAATCAACTGCTCGATTGTTTTAGCTTGAATTAATCTAAGACTTGTTCTGTTCCTCCCCCTCCTCCAGATGACGTGTGCATTTTTAAAGGTCCTGAAAAGACACATCAAAAAAGGACCCTTTTATTACTATGCAAGTGTTCTGTCTTCTTGTTCACTGTGTTGGGTCTCATCAATTAGTGACTTACATCCTCTAAAATTCAGGTGGGGAACAGCTCCCTTTTCATTCATGATCAAGTTTACACAGCTACTCAAATAGAAAAGTTTTAGTATGGCATTCGTGCCTTTTTAAGAAAAAATAGTTCTTAATATGGGAAACAATGAGTTCTTTTTTAACCTCTTCCATCTTTGATCTTAGTGCATCCCCACCACTCATTCTCCTTGGGCATGTTTCCTGCTACTGTATCCTTTCTTCCTGACCCCTGCCATTGACACCTGCCAAACTCAAGATTTAAGTGCTAATAAAACTAAAATTAACAGGACCTGTTTTCCTCACCCTGTTATGACACACAAATCCAACAGCAACCTAGAGTTATTTCCATTTACAGCAAATACCTATTGCATCTTCAGGAGGGAGCCTAATGCTGTCTGTGTACAGGTATTCCAGGAAGGCTCGGTAAACAGGATAAGAAAATTCATTCATTTCTATAATTTCATCATCATTATTCAATATGGAACGAAAATGTTCACACCTACAAAACATGAACAAAGAGTGTATACTGTAAAGAGTTAACCTTGAAAGATGAGCTGGAACAAGAAGTTTGTAAAAAAAAAAAAATTAAAAAAAAAAAAAAATCAGTCATGACAGACTAACTACACAACCATAAACGCTGGGTACATGATTTCTTGGTTTGAACACGCTAATTTCTTTAAGCCTTATAAGGCCTATAAGCCTTATATATATAATTCAGAATTTTCCTTTATTTCTGTTATTAATATTTTATAGTAGGCTCCATTTCTACTTACAATATCTTTAAGGATGGTCCATTTGTTTTTGATGTCATTTTCTTAAATATGCTATACATTAATTATGAATTTTATTACCTGGCTTGCAACAGACAACTCTCACATTTAACATGATCTAGTGAGGAGGGAAATCATTAATATTTTAGATAACACTTATTCCAGTGTCAAGAGTCCATACGCAATTTAGTGTTAGATTTAATCATTATACTGAAGGATTAAAACATTTAAAGTGACGTCACTCTCACACAGATCTTTCATCACCTTTTTCTTGTAAATCCGAATATTTTCTTGACAGAGAAGATACAAACAAGGAAAAAGCACTGCCTTTGATGGCTATACTCTGCAGCTTACAACTCACTGTAACCTACTGCTCCCTAAAATCCTGCAACATTTGAATTGTTTTCAAAATTTTTGCTGATGCAAATGAACATCACAACCTCAGATAACTTTTCCTGTAACAGCCACAATTTAGTTGAACTCTTTTATACTATACTACTTACTTTCTAACTCTCCCACATCAGAATTTGCTTTTCTTTTACTAAAACTTTTACATAAAAGGTAGGTTGGTTTCCTTTTAATATCTCTGGGACACGCCTACATTGTAAAGACATCATAACTGAAATACCAATGAAATATAATTATTTATTTTATCATTTAACTTTTTCACATTTGATTATAGTGGTTAAAGATTTTTTTTCTTAGTATTTTTTAATAAAATAACTAAACCTCAAGTCAAATTCTGAAAGAATTAGAAAGTCATTATCTAGCTTCTGCCACATCTTTTACCACATTCTGGCATTGGATGAGGCAGACCAAACCCCATTGCTTTGTTTCCCAGAGCCTCATGTGAAGTGGTGATGACCATGCTCTCCATCCAGCTGTGGAACAGACCTTGGGAATGGTCTGTCGCCCCAATAGCACCACACAAAACTAAAAAGTCAGAGAGAAAGTGGTGCACATTGGTCCCTTCAAAATAAATAAGTAAATAAATAAAAATCATCCTTTAGTCTCCAAAGTATTTTGGAGTGACTCGGCCTTTGGAGTGCCCCCCACCCTCCCTCCCTCCCTGTCTCAGTAGACACAGACCAGACACCTAATTTTGGCTGTCTAAATGCAGAGCAGATGATCCCACCCCCATACCATATGTATCTGTTTCTGGAAGCAGTATGTTGCTTGTGCCCCCGCCCCCCACCTCTCGCTGAGCTGGGCCTTGCCCTGCCATTTCACCACCATCATAAGCTAATAACCACCAACAATATGGTCTAGTTCAACAGCAGGCATAGAACAAGATGGAAAAAAGTCTTCATAAGTGGTAAAGAAATGACTGGATAACGAATGGGAACTTGTACCAGCACTGCAGGCTGAATGCTGCATGACTACCACGTTAAATACATTATCCTCTGACCCAGTTGCATCATGAGACTATAAGGCTTAAAGAAAATATTAATTCTACAGGCTGTCCTCGATACTTTATTATTCCTATATATTATTTTGACAATGCCATAAATTTGAATTCATTTTAGAATTAGATACATTTCCTTCCCAGAATGTGACATAATCTGAGAAAAGTAGAGAAAAAAAAAAGAAATAAGGAAAAATTACATATAGTCTGATTATCAGGTAAAAGAACATCAGAATCATTTTGGGAATACACAAGATTTGAAGTGGTATCTGATGAAGGACACATGGAGTTCCAAACAAAGAGGGTAGACTATAGGTGCAAGTGTAATGTACAAGTAATGAAACCAGCAAAGGGAAGAAAGCAGTAATATATGTAATTGGAGTAGTAAGAGGAGAGCAGAAAAGACCAAAAAAAGGGCAGGCTAGAATTAACAAGGAACTTTACCTTTATGCAGTAATATACAAAAAATCACTAATGGGACTCGGGAACAAAAGTAGGAAGACAGAAGTGATAAGCAGGATGTGATAGCCAAGCATTTTGAGAAAGAAAACAGCAAAGAGAAAAAACTATTGTAACAATGGGAAGGATGCAGCAGAAGCAGTTAGAAAGACAGAAGAGATCTAAATAAGTGTCTCTAGAATATCCTAGTAGATACTGCATCAGCAATAACAAACTAATCTCTGCATGTTAATAACAATGTGATTACTCTGTAGATCTGTGTATGTCAAATCTCTCAGTAAAGTGGTGTTAACTTGCAAAAAGCTGTAAAAACAAAGACAAGTCACCTGAAAATTCAAATTTGCTGATAAGAATGCTTAAAACAAATAGGATTAGAAATCTGACAAAAAAGCTAAAAAAAAAAATAATCTGGAGAGCATCTACAGAAGTTGCTAAAATGACTGAAGGGTCCTGTGGAAGGAAAGAAAGGCAAGAATAAACACAAAACCCTCAAATCATTCCAGGAGGAAGCCAAGCACATAAAGAGGGAAAAACTGATTCAAACTACTGGGAAGGCAGCAGAAAGAAGTGAGCCTTTTCCTCAGCAGAAAAAGGTTATTAGAAATCAGGGTCGAGGCCGTTTAGGGAGCACAAAGGAGGATATATGTCAGAGGGAAGTGATGAAAAGGCTGGTAGTAAGCAGCATGTTTGGTAATTCAAAGCATCAAGGAAATGAGGAAAACAGAGCAACAGTGAAGAATAGCAGGTGAATCCCAGGGCTGAAGGAAAGGGGAGTTTTGTAAAAAATAGTCAAGAATTTTTAGCAGTAATCACTCAGCACAGTGGACTACACTATACAGTTTAGCTTATATTAAACTATACAGTTTGCGCCTTACCTAATTTTGAGAAGAACTTTATGAACATGAATGTATTTTCCATCCACTAGAAACTTCAGGTCTGCAGTTTCAGGGTTGTCAAATTCCTTCTTTAGTGACTGAGCTACTGTTAGATGGTCATCAGGCTCTACAATAAAAAGGGAAATGAATAGCAAGGAGTAAGTAATACAAGTATCTCTCATTATAACATCCTGGGTATCTGCTGGCAATGAATACCCTTAATAAACACGATATCTCTTTAAGGCTAATAAAAACCCCAGCAGACTATGTGTTCAGTATGAACCCCCAGAAAAGCAAGTAAAGGGCAGCTTTCTTCAGTCCTTACTAGTTTTCTACTCCAAAAATATATCCCTATTGAAATAAAAATAAGTCCTCATCTATATAAGGCTGGAAATAAGTCCTCATCTATATAAGGCTGGAAAAATATTTAACATAGTCTCAGATGTTTAATGTTGCATCTGATAGCAAATGCTATCAGTTGTTACTAGGTAGATTAGTCAATAAAAATCACAATAAGATTTTCTAAAATACTCCCACGAGGAGACATTATCTTACAGCAGAAATAAAGCTATTACATAACCAATATATTGGCGGCAGTGAACCTGCCCAGTACAATATCCCTAGGGGTAAATACCAACAGTTACGAGCCTATTCAGAAAGCATTTTCCCTAGCCTTGTGGTGTTAGAAGCACTCTTGTGAATGTCTGCTGTGGTGGGTTAGCCCTTGGCTCGGGGCCAAGCCACACACACCCACTCACACATATTCCTGTTTGTGTCATTGTATGTATATCCCACTATGAACGTGATATTTGCGTTATAAAGTCACCAGACAGCTGGGAAAAGTCATCTATTGTCTGCATACAAATTTTTATCTCCTGAACTGTTTTCAAATCTCCATCATATTTGATAGCCTCAGAGAACTATCTTCTTTAATACTACTGAAAACTTAAACCCCCAAACCTCATTCTTAACCCAGAAAACATTTTGTCTTCTTAACATATAAATACACATTATTTTTTTAAACAAATTTTGTGGGTCAGTAATAAGCTGTTCTCTACAGAAAATTACATAAATGCTAGGTCCTGTAACCTACCAAGCTAGAAATAGGAATAGTATTTTGCTGGAAATTGAAAGACCTTCACCACAAGCTCTAGAAGAAACTTAACACACGCAGTTTGATACTGCTACACTTTGTTTAGCACAATTAATTTTTATTTCATATAGAGGATGTCACTTATGTTCAGGTATACACAATTAGGGCAAAAATTATCCAAGCGTGTTGGATTACAGGTAAAAGGACTGAGGGATGAATGCAATGTAGGGATAACAAAAAATCCTTCTGAAATAATGGTACTGTAAAATACTTTGTTAGTTCTTATTTTGTAAAATGTGGTTTATTTATTCAGATCTCTGCTATCCGAATAAGTAATAACTTTAACAACCAATACAAAGCTGAAGCCCTTCTTCAAAGTCACCCTGAAGTTCAGATGTTCACCAATACACATCTCCAGATGACTTGTACATCCAGCAGAGGTAAACTGAATACAGTGGGATTCAGTTATGAAATTCTCAGAGGGAAAATAAAGTGCTTTTATTTGTTACAGCAGTGAAGGAGGAACCAGAGGAAGGAAACGAAGAGGCAGTTCACACTGACAAGGCACAAAGCCAAGAAAATGGCAGGCAGTGCTAAGAATTGTAATAGAAATGTTAGAGCTGCCACAAGCAGGGAATGAATGGGAATGCCTGGGTGTGGAAGCACCAGAATATGACAGACAGAGAAGGGCTGTAAGCATGGCAGATGTCCATGGCACCTAGTTCAGCAGATGTTAAGATCCTAGGATGCAGCTGCCTGATGATTCTCACCACACGTAGATCAGGAAACAAACAACAGTGAGTCAGTCCTGGTGACTCAAGTGGGACAGGATGAAGAAACCAGTCACTCTCAGCTCCTAGAGTGTGCAAAAAGGCACATCCGAAACCAGCACAGTCACCTAACTAAAAGGAATCCAGGAGACACGATGAGGGCCTGATAGCCAGCATCCTTTATCCTGTGTCATCACAAGGAGCCCTGCTCTGACCACCTGAATACACATTTTAGTGCCGGGATGCTGGACAGACCATTTGGCACATATGAGAATGGGGTTTGAAAGTGCATCTGAAATTAGTTTTGTTTAAAAATAAAATAAGGTTTTCCTCCTGTAAGGTTTCACCTTCTGCTTTGCTACAATGTTTCTACAGTGTTGCAACATTATTTCCAAATGGACCAAGAAGTCAAGGTCAAAAAGCAAAAATAAAAGGAAATGCTGCAGTCAGAAAAGACTCCCAAGGTGTGACTCAGTGCAGGGAGTCTGGGTGTATTGTTCACAGTGACAATGAAGGTGGGGGGACAAGATGTGTTGGGAAATAGCTACGAATGTAGTCTTTACCACACTGTGTCAAAGAAAGTGAATATCTATGAGTATTAGTGCGCAATATGCTTATTAATACATGGGTTACTTGGAAGTCTTCAGCATAAAGGTGATAATCACATGAATGACCATATATAATCCCACTCAGGACTCTTTTAGCTGACCTAAAACAGCATTTCTGACCTAAACCAGCATTTGTAAAAGATGATGAGAAAAGGTGAATTTGCAGAAAGGAGCATGGAAAAACTGTAACAGAGAGTTTCAGTCTCACTCAAGCAGTTGTTTTCTGTGTGAGGAACGAAATAAGGAAAGAGGCATTTTGCTTCTTGCCTTCCTCCACTCTCCTTTGAAAAATTCCTCAGTGCTAAACTGAGAAGAAAAGGCAAGAGAAAAAACCAAAGAGAATTCTGATAGCATGACATAATATTTTAACTGGGCAAGAAGAAATGGAAGCTGAAGAGCTCCAGAACTCTTCTAATGCTAATGTACATAAGAAGATACATATAACTGTATTTATGATGAAGCCACATATACTAATAACGCCCCATTTCCTTCATAAAATAACCAATTCTTATGGAAGAAAAATCTGAACATACTACAGACACTTTTAGGTAGAGCTTACAACTGACAAACAGATACTTACATGGATTGAACCACCCCATTGCCTAGGATTTTCATGCAGTAACACAATTTACATCTAATTAGTAGTAGGCAAGTATTAGGAACATTAAGAATTTCCACAGTAATTAAGCATATATCTTATAGTTCTGAACAAGCCACCCTAGAAAGCCCAACTCCCTCAACCTAGAGAAAATGGCGGTCTTTGGACTGTGCCCTAAAACATGAATTTTGGCAAAGCAGTTTCCTGAGAACAGGATTCTCCCTTTAATCCTCTGGACTCTCAAGCTGAAATATGATTACTATTAACAGAATTTCCTTACCTTGGCATCCAGAAGGCACCAAGGGAGCAAAAAGTGTTCTACAATTGTCAGACAAAAGCATACAGCAAGACAAAAGCAATTACAAAGGCAGTACAGAAAAGGAATGGAAGCACTATGGACTCAGTACATTTCAAATTACAAATTAACAAATTGCTGAATTCTAGCTTTTAGCTTAAGCTCCCAGGTGACACCTACAGCCAACCCCAAGAGTCTCATCTTTGATTAGGTCAGCAAAGCCAGTAGCTTTGTTAGCAACCAATATAGAATTGAATTTATAGCTGAAGAATGAGCTCTCTGTTAGACAATGCTATATACTTAACTCTTTCTAGTCAAGGCCAGCAAGACAGACCTTAATCAAATATCTGAGATGCAGCAACTTGTCTCTTCAGAAGCCCAGGTCCTGATCACTTGTGATGAGGTTTTAAGTGCCTGTGGCCAATTCTGAACATGGGAATAGTGCTCCCTCCATTCCTAGTAGTCTATTTAAGGGCATCAAAGAAAGCTTCAGGGTTCCTAAATGTTCTGCATGGCTCTCTCAAGTCTCCAAATTCAAACTCAGCTTCTCCACCTGTGGCCATTGTACACATACAAAAACCCCCTTCCCAAACCCAAGGCATTTCCCCACAAAAATAAACCACGTCAATAAAACAGACAATCATTCAGCATCGCCATCATGCCTTAGCAATTTTTACAATTCCATATCACTATTTACACATACATAATATATTATTATGATTATGCTTCGCAGTATAAATTTTTGCAAGAAACTAAGTTTAGTCTTCAAACACGTGCAACTGTTTTATGCACTAGTGATTCTATTTAGAAGATGTCAAAACAAAAAATATTTAAGCTCACCTACTGATAGAAGACGCCACATAACGGCAGGGGTAGCAAAGCAAGCAAACACATCGTCAGTGCAGGCAAAGTGAGTGAGGTGGGGAAGGATCACTGACTGCCCACGGCATTGGCCCCACATGTACACCTGACCGCTCTGGGTCCTGGCGGCCGACGTGTGAGCAGAGTGGCAGGCAGCAATCTCTATAACTCTGAATTTACAAGCAAACAAAGAAAAAAAAGCAAGTCACTCTCCTAAGAACAAAATGCAGTGAAGAAGCTCACTACCTCCCATGTTTCTCTGGTGCAAAAATTATTTGTAAGCATGCATGCACTTCCAATTGCGAGAATGTTTTTCTATCACACATAGCAAAATAAAAGGGCTGTCAATGTTTCTTCAAATAGAGTGCACTCAGAAAGTTTCTCAGTGAAAAACCAGTAGACACTGTTGCAGCAGAGCAGTACATTTGCTGTAGCACATGCTCTACTGACCCCCTCGGCTCCCTCAAACAAAGCTATGAGGAGTTTCAAGCCTCTGAAAGTCCTCAGTGGTGCTGGGCGGTGAGGTGAGTGGCTGCATTAAGCTGTAGAGAACGGGTACTCAAAGAAGATGAAGAAGAAAATGAGGAGCCGTTTAAAAAAAAAAAAAAGAAAAGGAATTTGCATTTTGGCTTATAACTGAAAAGTTAATGAAAAACCTTTTCCTGCTTGCTTATTGGTAACAGTTATAAGCCAACAATTTAAACATCCTTCTTTCAATTAAAATATTGAAATGTCTTTACTCATACAATTATTATTACTTACATTTAACAAACTCCCATTTTGAAATTTAGAATTGGAACCAAACAGCCCTAAAAGCTGTTTCTAAGTGTATTTTAGATAAGTTAGGATATCTCACCAACCCTGAAGCTGATTTAGGATTTCAAAACTCCCACTGCGTACAACATTACACAATCCACTGTTTTGTAGTCTGAACTACTCTTTGTTTACTTGTTTTCCCAGCTGCCTGGGGAAAATAGCTGGGAAACAACTTGTTTAAAGCTGTATGTACAAATCTTGCAGGCTTTAGTGAGGTAATATTCTCACTGACACCAGGAATGCAGATTCTCGCCAACAAAAGGGAAAGGCAGTGTACAACATTAAAACTCGTATTAAAATGTGGCAACATTTTAATTGCAGCCAAAGTGTCTGGAAACTATTCAGCTACATTTTAAGCAAAAGCACAAACGCACATAAAGAAACAGAAACATTCAAAACCAGGCCATGTCTCATCACCAGAGAGGAGTTGCCTCTTCCTTGCAATAACGTACACGGAACACAAGTTTAAGACGGACATCTCGCTTTTCTTATTCACAACAGGAGGCCAAAATAAAGACCTCAGTAGTAAGGAACAGATTCCATTTTCTGGCCACATATATATACATGGCTTTACATTAGGAACAGAAATAACTGCCCCACTACCCATCGAGGACCTACAGGAAAATACTGAACTTGTAAAAATCTAAGCTTAATCTTCAGGCAACAATACCAAGAAAGAATTCCTCCCTCTCTCTCTCCCCTGGGTTATGAGCCAGATTCAATAGCAGAAATAACACAAACTGCAGATGTCCACTCTCCACTTTTTCTGTGTGTACTTCTTGTCAAAAGGAGCATATTAAAATACAATTTATATTCAGAGACAATAAAGCTTTTATCATTGACTTCAAACAATGAAACTACACCACTGAAGAGTAACTGCAGTTAAGGCCAATACAGTACAGTGAGAGTGGAAGCAAAAAAATAGCACATTCAGGCTCAGAAAATGCAGTTTCACAAGGATGGTTATGGGGCAGACTCAATCACTTTCAGTGAAAATTCTGTTCATGGATAGCAGAAGAACCATTGCAAAAGAAATTATAGACTATTTCTTCCAAAAAATAGATTAAAAATGCCATAATTTTCTCTAGCTCTTCTGTCAGTATGCCAGCTAATGTCTGATTGCAAGACTGTAAGTATTACCTGTCCTTATCCACAATAACTGTTGTAGGGTAAGACTGGTTGCTTTTATTCCCAGTACCTAACTGGCCATATGAATTGGCTCCCCAGGCATAAATCTGACCTTCATCTGTTAGCACTAATGTATGTGCATAGCCACAGGCAACCTATAAGGAATAATAAAAAGAAAAAAAATCTCATTTTTATGTAACAGTAAGTTAATACAGATAAATATGTTATTGATTCTATACCAGTGTAAAAATTACAAAAATCACAAATACAGATAAGATTATTAAAAAGGGAAGCAAAGTAGATGAGGTGACTTTGAGGAAAAAATGAAAAGAGTGCTTTAAATGAAATAAATCCTTAAGTTATTTACTGATTGGATGCCTACAACTTGGTATTAATCGATATCAAGCAAATGAAGTGGGTGGAAATAGGATCTAAGTCAAACTTACTGAAGCACTCATACTCTTTAAACAGGAGAACAAATACAGGGGAAAGTAATACTCCTTTCATTACATTCTTGTCCAACAGCAATTGTTACCAGCCAAGCTACCGAATGCAAAACTGAATGGACTGAAGTGAATGTAAAACTATGTAATTAAATGAGTTTATTTTAAAAGATTTTACAAATGTATAACTTCCCTGAGTAAATACAATAAATAGGATACAAAGTTCAAAACACTCTCGTAAATTTTCAGTAGTTTACAAAACCAAGGTCTTCTAGCAGAATGTGTCATTTTCCTGACAGTATCCTCTATTTTGGGTAAACCAATTAAAAACTTTCAGCTTCAGTTCTGCAGTTACTTTAAATATTTCTTATCAGTCAAAACAAGTTGTCAGTTTGCTAATTACACTGATGGCAGTCCAGTTATTTGGTAAAGTGTAATAACCACCCAAGACTAACACCAACCATGGAATTATACAAACTGTTGACCAAAAGCAGCTGGAGACAATTTGTTCAGACTCCAAACACCAGTTAATTGCTGTGGCTGGAGTGCAATTCTAAAAATGATAGTCTACAAGAAAGACAAAATGCTAAACTGCAGCATTTTCCCAAAAAAGATGACGGGCTAATGAAGAATAGGGTAGCCTAAAAAGACTTTATTTACTAAAATAATAGGATTTATTTTAAAATTAAGTTTCACAGGAAAAAAAAAAAAAAAAAGACAAAATATTTCTAATTCCCTAGACTGCTTTAAGTAAAATCCTGATGTCACTGAAGGGCAAAATTCCCACTGAACTACACAAGGTTAGTTTCTCCCCTACTGAGAGAGGTCCATTTTAAGATATCTGGTTTCATTCTGATAAATGGCACTTTAAACAAAGAGATAAAGGATTATCTCTTATAAATGTAGAATAAGTTTTAACATATTTTCAAATGTTCATAAAGGGTTTGACATGGAGCATCACACACATACCCGCTGTACACGAATGCCTTGCAAAGCTGCTATTCGGCATGGTGTTGGCTGATTGCCGCTGCTGCCCAGCCCAAGCTGGCCATTACCATTGTAACCCCAGACATAGACCTTAAAAACAGAGATTAAAACCAGGGATTTTAATAGTTTGCTACTATCTACTTATTTTTGAAAACAATATAGCTACTTCCAAGTAAAAATAATAATTTTCTTCAATATTTCCTGTCCCCACACCTTAGGATCTGTACTTTATATGTAGTTACACACAAACACACACACACACCCCTAAATAAATGGATTGGATTGGACTAGATGATCTTCGTATTGGACTAGATGATCTTTTGAGGTCCCTTCCAACCTCTAACGTTCTTTGAAAGGTACATATATGCATACATATATGTGCACACATGCGTATGTGTTTTTCTGCACCGCAAATTTGGGATGCTGCTTCTGTTTCAAATACTAACTGCATGCTCATCTAAAATTCTAAACCTCCATACTCATGTTGCTCTTTAAGAGTTAGATTATGTAAGACTACAATATTTTAATATGAAGAGTAGAAAATAAGTGATTCATGTGGCTCTTATCCAGCACAGAGCAAATTCAGCATGAATACTTCCCTTTTTCAAAGAGCTGATTTCTCATTCAAAAATCCTCTAACAGAAAACACTCTAAACCAAGTATAAACTGGAAGCTATGCACAACAGTTTGAGTAGGCTGTTAACAGCTTTATGTTGCACATAAGAAAAAAGGAAAATATTGAGCTCTGATAACTTCAGTGGCATATGTTCTACTGCAAACAGTCAATAGCTACTTGGGTCTAAACTGAAATGCTTGGAGTGATGGAGCTAGAGAGGATGTAGGCTGCCCAAAATTTTCAGCTCATATGAACTCAAAACAACAAGAACACTACAACCTCTTCCTATCTTTGCTATGAGGATAAAAAAGTATGAGAAGGATTCAAGAGGTACAGCAGGACAACAAATATGTGCAATATACTTCTATTTTCTATTGAGATAAAGTGTGCCTACATGAGCAATGAAAATTAAAATAGCATTCACTGATTACTCTCACATTCCTGGTACTTAAGCTTCTACTATAGACTAATTTATTTTTCTGTGAATGCTAAAGACAGCAGTGGGATAACGTATTAATCAGCACTTTCATTTTTGCTAGAATATAATACCAGCTCAGTAAACCAGTGATAAAGACTTAGGTACTTTTACATACAAGAAAATGAAATTAACATTAAATGCTAAGTATACAAACACAGATCTGACAGAATTTAATCTCAAAATTTCTAAAATTTATATTTTCAAATAAATTTTAAATTTGACACTTGAATTCCTTCAACTCAAAGCCAACTTCAATAGCTGATACAAAGTAACAGTTGCTAAATTTTATGAGTAATCTCACAGACCAAAAAGCCATAAACCAAATGATAGCAAACAATTTTCCCTGTTTCACTCTATCTCCTTTCTAAAGAGAAAACCATAATCAATATGGATAGGAAGATGTGCTTAAGAATGTCAGAATGTGTAGACAATTTACGGCAAGGGCTTTTACAAGCAGTATACACAGATAGATTTGAAGGAAAGTGGAAAGATATACTTCTTTTGTGAGTAAGTAGCTCGTTACTGACAGGTTTGACATGATCTGTATCCAATTATATCACATAAAATAAAATTCAGTCAGAAAATTCACTTAAAATTTCTTACCTCTCCATTTTGCACCACAGCCATAGAGCACATCTGTCCACAAGCTATATTAACTACTATTTTATTTTGTAGGCAGCTGGTAACTCTTCGAGGAATTGGTTGATTAGCTGTTGATCCAGATCCAACTTGGCCTGAGTTATTATAACCCCATGTGTATACCTGTTGTAAGAGAATTGTCATAAAAGAAGGCTATATAACATACAGTTCAAAGTAGATACTCAAGAGAGAAGAAAGTCATATGCATAAAAAAGATATATTTCTGACTTCAAGTGGATGTATTATTTTAAAGATCTAGGAAGATATATAGGTTTACAATTTAATTGTTTCTAACAAAAAATCACCACTCATAACATTTATATGTTTGATTCTATTACGTTCCCCCAATCAAAGGTAAGAGGCAACATGACAGCTGCATTAATGCTGGAAGAATCCATTGCTAGTTTTCCAGAACCCAAAGTAGAATGCCTGACTGGACACAAAAGGCACCTCAGAGTAAATGACTGAAAACTTTTTACTTTGGTAGGTAGAACTCCTTACATGAATGTGACTTATATTAATGTCAGCTTTCATGCCATTACGCATTTCCAGTAGAGTATAGCATAGGAAGGAACTGGCTGCCCTCTACAAAGAAATTATAATTTTCTATTATAAGCCTATGTGGCACAAAAATCAACATTCTGCATGCACTTCAAACCAGCTAGACCCTAACAGGTTTTCCATTTTTATCAAACATTTGTGTTGCATTAGCACTGAGAGGACAGCAAGAAGCAAGGTCTAGTGCTATAGATGCAGAATGTTCTCCTGTTTCTCACATACATGAATTTCATTAAGAGAAAAGAGAGATTTATTACAGATATTCTCACCTCTCCATCACATGTTAACACCATAGAATGATGAGAGCCACAGGCAACTTCAATCACTTTCTTGTTCACCAAGTTAGTAGAGACTTGACAGGGAACGAAACCATGATTTGTTGTACCATTGCCCAACTGACTGTAAGCATTATGACCCCATGTATATACTTCTCCTTCTATAATAAAAATGTAAAAAGCTGGTGTAAAAATCTCTATTTTTTCCAATGAGTACACAACATAAAATCACAAACTGAAAAGTCAAACTCAATAACAATATACGTACTTAAGTGTATACTTAAGTGTATATATATTTTATATAAATATATATCTATATACACAAACACCCTTTGGGGCTCTTAAATCTCATGGACATAGCAATGCTACCTTCACATAGTGTTGGCTGCAAATCCAAAAGGACAGTAGCACCATAATCTTAGTAAAGGAAACCATATAGCTAAAAGAAAAGACATAATGCAATACAGAAGAGAAAAAGATGAAATGACAGTCAGGAGTCCTCATTTCAATTTCTTTGTTACTGACAATCAATCAAAATTTCTTATCTATGCCTCAGCACTGTTTTCCACTTTGGAAAATTGAAGTAACAAGCTTTCTTTCCTTTACAATATACATGAAGATGCTTGTAAGAAAAACTTATTATTACTTATTAAGCAATATACTTTTATTTACTTACTATTTAAAAATACTACTCATGTCCTGCATTTTGAGAAACGTGCTAGTAAAATCAAGGATGCAAGAAATGTCTGGCTGGGTTAGACCAATGGTCCACCTAGTGCAAAATTCTGTCTCAACTGGCAATAGAAAAAAGATGTGCTGTTTAAGGGAAACATGAGCCTGTTCAGTTTTTGCAGTTCCCAAGCATTTAAAATCACCAGAGTACAGATATTACCAGGTACTTCTGATTCTCTTTAATGTACTTATATTGGCCTGTTATCCATGAAGCTAACACCTTTCTGTACTCACTTTCTGTCATCTATTTTAAATCAAGTGTCCTCTAGTCACAGTAGTGCAGGATTTGATGAACAGCTCTCCCATATTCATCTTGTCCATAGTCATCATCATCATCATTTTCTACACCTAAATTATGCCGTTATTGCAGGAGAGCTAGGTTTGACATACAATTCCATCAGATTTCTAAAGAGATCACCAAACGCCCCATCCCTAAGAAGGGTTCCCTCAAAACTGCAAAAGTAAAATGTGCCACACTAAACCAGTATTTCTCTGCAAAAACAGGTTAAATCTAAGGACTTTATCCTGTCAAAAGCAAACAACTTTCCCTTTGTTTCACCAACATGAGAATAAAAATTTCAATTAACAGATGAAACAGCCACATAGAAACACATAACATAACTTGGAAAAGATAGTATTTAACACAAGAATTGTGAAATATATAAGAGCTGTCTGAAAGGTAGGTTAAAAGAGGCCACGCTAAATGGAAGTCAGTCATGTGAATGAAGTAATGAGTAAAAATCATCAAGGATCATTTCTGGACCTGTTCTTGTGAAATAATTCAGTTCATCATCTGGGTAAAGAATATGAGTGTGCCAGTGAGATCTGCCAGCCACAAAGCTCAGAAGAATACAGATAAGTATATAAAAAGCATCCAGAATGGTTTACCCTGAAGACTGGAGAAAATCGTGGAATATAATTGAATATAAAGAACAGTCATACATTTATAACACAATTCCCCTCACCTGCTAGTCACCTAATCTAGATTACTCAAAAAGATTTATTCTCATTAACAAAGAAAGAGAGACAAATGTTAACACCATCAGTCAGGCTCTAACAGAACCTCACTGGGAAAACACATTAGTCATTTGTCTTCAAGAATAAGGTATTAAATTATTAACAGAAGCGCCACTCAGATTACATGGATAATAGAGCGTCAGTGAGACAATAGAAAATAAAAAGCTGAGAGGAAATATAACTGGTCTTTAAAGCACATCCAAAAGGAGGTGCAGGAGGGAAGATACGCATTTTATCTCAAGGGCAAGGTTGGCACAAGCATATATGGGCACAATGTAGCCACTAATGCGTTTCAAAAGCAATCAGAAGTTTCAAACTTAACTGGTTAAAAAAACCAAACTTCTAAAAGCAGTAACAAGATCAAAGCAGAGCTTGAGAAACTTTTGAAAAGAACTAGCTATGAATGGAGCAAGGTGACATCTCACGTTCACCAATGAAAATACATTGGACTCGATAGCCCAGAATGTCTATCTCAGTTCTCTCTCTTGTATTACCAACACAGGCCTTTCACACCTGCTGGACTAATTAAAGTGGACCTCTCTGAAAAAGTAATATTCAGATCATACTTTACCTTCTGTAGCAAGAACAACATGAGGGCCGCTTCCGTAACTCAGACAGGCTATCTTTTTGCCACACAGAGTATCTAACCTCCTGGGTTCAATAGTGCTCTGCATGTCACCTGTTCCCAAACACCCACTGCAGTTCATGCCAAGCACAAAAACCTGTTATAAAAGAAACACAGAATCTTAATTTAGGTTGGAATGGAGGTCCTCCAAAGGTCAACTAGTCCAATGCCCCGCTCAACAAAGGTCTAAATAGATCAGTTGACTCAAGGCCATGTCCAGTCAAGTCTCGAACATCTCCAAGGAAGAGATCTCACAACCTCTCCAGGATTTAATCACTCCCATGATAAATTTTTTTTCCTAGTACTGAATCAGAATTTTCAGGCTTCCAGCTTGTGTCCATTGCCTCTCAACCTGTCACTATGCACCTCCAAGAAATGTCTAACTCCAACTTCTCTTTATCTTCTGATTGTGGTAGGAAGCCACTAATTTGAATTGAAAATATTTTAATAGAAAAATGATTAGGCACTTTTGCATGCAACTTTTTCTAGGTATACTATCACAGTCCTGACTTACAGAATAACTTGATACATAAAAGACTAAATATGTCATGTTCATGCACACTCTTGGACAATTACCTCATCATTTTCAGTCACATACAACACTTCATTACCAGCACTGCCAAATACACAGGCTTGACGAATTAACTTGAGCTCTTCTTGGGAACAGAGAGAAAAAATCGGCCATTTCCCAACATCCAGCATCTTCAGGGCTGACAACAATGTTGCCTCCAAGACCTGACATTATAAAAAATTGTATTAAATACCTAGACAGAGAACCTTGGCACAGTAAAAAGGATAAAATTAGAGAAATCCCACCATCTCCTTTCTCAACCAGAAATCAGAATTTTAATTCTAGAACAACACTTGGGGGAAAGCCATTAAAATAAATAAAAAAACCCCAACCCTATATCGTGGTCCAGAAAGAAAGGATCTATGTGCATGGAGAAAAGTACCATAGAAGAACCTAAATGGCGAGGTCATATGTTCACTATATTCATACAACATAACTTCATAATTCATAAAATTACTGTTAAGAGAAGAAACCATAAAAAATACGCCCAAGAATATACTTATCTTTGAAAAATACATACATTTGCTTTCATGCACTGAAAATGGAAACTAGAGAAAACGTGAGAAACTTTTTCCTTACTCCTTTACTTCTGAAATTTACTTATATGTTTCAACAATTACTGAATCTTTGGAAACTTCCTAAGAATATCTGCATTTTCTGTAAGCAGACATATAATAAAAGAAAAAAGCTAATTGAACATTTTCTGGATTAGCCAAGGTCAGGTGACAAGTTTATAGTTACAGGAAAAGAAAATCATCTCTCCAGACATTAAAACTAGTCAAGCTCATGTCTGAATCTCACGTAACATTTCTACTGCTTTAGTACAGCATAAATGAGAAAAACTTTGCAGTATCAAAATTTAATAGCAAATTTTGCATGGAGCATGCATCAAGTTTTTCTTTACTGAAATTAAAACAGGCTCTGGATGTGAAAGAAAAGTAACATTACTTCCCAGATTAGAAGGTAAGTAAGAATAGATTTTGCCTATCACAGGCATTATATAGTTTACCATGTAACGGTGAGGATTGCATTATTAGTTTATTTATAGCAAGTAGCAGACTTACAAAATGATCTATTATAGAACATAATTTTTTCTAACTCTGACTGAAACAAAGATGTGAATAAAGTCTAGTTTGGAGTCTGAAATATGTTTTGTCAGTTGTAAGGATATGGCTTTTTTGATTAGTATCACTTACTGTGAAAAAATGTACACAGAAACATAAATAGTATTTGAAACTAAAGGAATAAACCCTAAATTAATCTTGAATTAAAATCTTTAAACAAACAGCAGTTAATCACATATTTCTTTATAACATATTTCTGAGGAAGGGAAAGGAGGGTTGGTCATCTTCACTAAAGAAAAGCTGTGGTTTTGATCACACCATTTTTTTCCTCATCTCCTCCCACGAACTAACTGACCAATTTTAGCCAATTTGCAAGTGAAAGGGAAGTAAGATTCTGCAGACACAATCCATTTGGCAGTAGGCAGCTGGACAATCAGACATGTATGTTATGAAGTAAGTCAGCAAGCAAGCGGGTCAAAGCCAGTCCTAGCAAATGCTGTCTTCCATGACACATAGCGGGGTTATAACAGACGAAGGGCACAACTCCATATGGAATCAGGCTTCATTACCTACTGTGTGCAGAACAATTTGTTTTATGTCAGGAGGTTAGCATTAATTCTGTGGAGGATTTTAAGCACTTTTAAAATATGATAATGAATAGTGAAAGCATCACAGACTAGTCTTCCAGTTGCATCAACAACACTGTGTCCCACTTTTGCTCAAGACTGATGAAGCCTGAGGTCTGAAAGGATAGTCAGGGTGTCCTTCAATCATACAGATTCCCTTACTGGAATAACATATTGGTTCCTGTAAAACGTAGGCTCTAAATGCCAAGAGCACAGTGGGTCAGAACTCATTCACCTTAAATAGAAAAGTTTTTTTCCTGTAACCTTTACAAAGCACTTGTGTTTTTACCCTTATAATTACCAGGTCAAAAAACCCCAAACTGTAGCATTTCTTAACACTAAAATAACACACTGAAGGAAAAAAACCCACTATTACAAAAAGCACCCAAGGAAACAGTTATGATACTGATTTTTTTTTTAAATAAAACAAATAACAACTAATTTTATCAGACCAAAAAATATCTATAATCTAAATCCTGTCTCTGGAATTATTATATTCAACTCAGTAAGAGATACTCTCTCACCTTTCAAGATTTTTTGCCCTCCCACATTTTTCCAATATATTTTGTCCAAAAAATACAAAAACCAGCTTGAACAATCAGCCTGCCAATATTTATGTCCCATAAGTGATCGGTTCCCTCATTATATTGCATAAAGTCATGAAAGACAGAGTTAGACCAGAATTTGAGACTTCATATGGTCCAGCTACCTATCCCAAAGGTGTACCAGTTATATCTCGAGAATTCCTAAAACTTTTACACTTCACTTGACCTCAGCAATCAGTTTGAAAGTTGGTTATTCAGTTTTATTTGTCATACAGATCACCTTAAAAGGTATCGTTAAGCTCAAAATCTGAACGGCATTTCATTAAGTTTCACACGCAGAGCATCCAAAGAAAATAAGAGAAAAATGAGAGGAAGATTTTGCATCAGATTATGCTACAAAAGTTAATTCTAACAAGCTTATGTTGTTGAAACATTAAGCTGGAACATGTAACTTTAGAACTTAATACTAAATTAAACCAGCCTTGTAAGCCAAAGGAGCAATTCAACCTAATTAAAATGAATATATTGCTCTTCTAATATTTTGTGGATCACATAAGTAACATTTCTTTTGCTAGTATCATTTTCCTACCTATAGCTTTGTTTTTCTGTTTATCTTGAAAGCTACTAGCATGTACTGAGCTACTGCTAAATGGAACAAAGCTGCTTCCTTTTGAGTAGAGCACTACAGAATCCTCAATACAAATTCACACTCTGACCTTGACACTGACTCCTTGAGAAGGAGGAGATTCATCCTCCATATGGATTTGTGCTTGTGTTCCCCTGCAGAGAGAGAACCGCGATTAAAATCACCGTATCATATTGCTGCAACAATACTTTATGGAACTATACATACTTAATATTAACCCAGAACTATCTGCTTCTGTGGGGTGAGAAAACAAGAAACATGAAGCTCAGCCAATTTTGTTTTTATATTCAACTGTACAGCGATCAGTTACACAGACTCTGTTCTGTATTCTTACCTAAACAAATAATTCTTGCACAAAACATTTTTTGAAAACAAACAATACAGTTAACCAGACTGTGATTCGAAAGGAAAGTTTTATTAAACACAATGCTCCAATGTCTTTTTATTGCAGTACGAGTAAATTTAGAACCTTGCTGACATAATTTTTCCAGACATTTCTTTCAGCACAGAAAAAGCACACTAGTCGGAGCTTTTCATTTCTAGCTTAAGCCTTCAAATATTCCAGTTCCGTTCTGAAAACCAATGTTAGAAAAACATTTCAGGTTTACTGAGAATCATTAAAATGTTCACTCTGTTTCAGAAATATTGCAGCACTGTCAATGACTTGTGTAATACTGAAATAACTTGAAGCTAAGCCATATTCCCTTTCAACTAGGAAAGACTAAAGGGCTGATTCGGTTGCCCAAACATTAGCACCTACTGCTATTTGAGATGACCTTGGGGATCCTCCACATGAAATTGGGCTAGCAGATCTAATACAGGATCCATAAGATATCCATGCCATGCTGGAACAGCAGCTAAGAACTAAACAGCAGTAGCCAGTTATGCGTGTGCAACTGAGAAGAGCCCTGGATAAGCACGCACAGCCATTTACCAAGCTTTACAACTTCACGAATGCATGGTAACTTGTTAAGTTGCTGTTAAGCAAGTTTTTATTTTCTTATTTTCTTCAACATACTTACTGTTCAAACAACAAGAATGCAACCAGTTGATTTTATGTACATTATCTCTATTTAAATCAGAAACAACTCGCCTAATTAAGGCCTTTGGCATGATCACAGCCCAAGCAGGACTGTATTACTGAACTGCAATTCTGAAACATGGGATTTCAAGTAAGTCAGTAGTCCTGCTGTGACACTGAATGTCAAGGCTGTCCAATATTTTGCAGCATCAATTTGCAGCGCTCCCTAGCAATGCTTCTTAGCCATCCTTAGCCTACACTTAGCACACGGGGCTGACATGTTCCCCAAGAGAATAACTATTAATTTTCTAATGTAAATAAATTGCAGAATTCTGTGTTTCCTTCCTCAAGCCATTTGATACATAACTGATACGCATAATTCTTCAAGTTCTGATATTTCAATTGAATTGCTTCTGTTTACACAAAAGCATAGTTTGACTTCAAAGCATTTTGTTAGTACAAAGAAAGACGCGTTAGGATGGACCACTTCATTTACCTAATGAAAGGTTCTCCAGCACACTACTTTTTCAGTCTCAGCAACATGCTGACAGTTTTGCACTAACCTTGCAAGAACAACGATCGCTTACATGTCCTCACAGGTCAAAAGTTATAACATGGTTTATCTTACATATAACTAAGGGAAAATTACCCTGCAACTCCATTCAAGCTGTTCTGCAATATAGACACCTTATTTCTGGTCCTACGGGAGTACACGGCAGGACTGAAATTACACCAGTTTATTCTTTTATTCAAATTCACGCATTCTAATAAAAGTACATACTGATTGACACATGTCTGCACTGCAAAGGTGTTATTTCTAGAAACCTGTAATCGATCTAAGAGTACATATTCACCCTGGGATCCTGAAAATAAAGAAAGACCAAAAAATATTATTAATCCTATCTAAGAATCATTCTTATCTGTATACCTTTAAAATACTGGTGATGATTCACACTTTTCTACTTGTAGGATTTTTCCCTCCAGAAAAATAATCATTGTATATATGGAGTGAATCAAAGAAAAAACATTATTTACATCAAAAATTAAAAGATAAAAACCTGTATATTTGGGTACTTCAGGTACAGAAGAAAAACATACCCTGGCTATTTCAGACAAGTTATTGGGGTGGTTAATCTACTAAATCTTATAATATGCATATAATTGCTAAGAAACCTTACTTTAAAATAGCTACCCATTACATATTTTTTAAATGCAATACTTACTTTAGAAAGTAGAAAGGTAAGCAATAAACATTTCTCATATATTAAAACTTTATACACATATTCACTAGCTGTGCTGCCAAAAAAATTCTAAACTGCAGATCCGAAGCAGAAAACTTCATTGTTGTATACATCCATTTCTTGAGGAAGTGCACGGCATTTTAATACAAAATTATTTATGTTAAACTTTCATAAATCTCTTATCTGGAATCCAAGAACAATTTAGAATCTGGACAGCATACCCTGGCAGTCTGAGTTAAGGTCTTGGAATCTGAAAGTTCTGACCCTGGTTTCGGTCCAGCCACGACAGGTCTTTGGGTAAGGCACATATGCTTCTGCATTACAGATAAGATCTACTTAAGGAACACAAATACTAGTCCTAATAGCTAAATTCTATTAGCAGTGTAAGACCACTTAATCTTAAATATTTGAACAGGTTCACTGACTCATTTGAATGTAAACACTCTTGTATCTCTCTAGGAATTTGGCAAGCAAACAAAAATTTTCAGAACTCCATTTAGTATTTCCTCCTACTTAATTTCAGGATTTATTAATCCCATCTACTGAATCAAAGGTCTGTCTGGACCTTCTTCACCAAGGAAAGATTCACCAGGCTTAGGAAAGATTAATAGGAAAAAGTCACAGAAAAAAAAGGGACATGCTGACATCTTTAGGAAAAAAAACCTAACCTTCTCTGATATTCTTGATTTCTCAGCAGTTTCCTACCAGAGCAGTCATGAAATGATGCTAACCTGTCCAAGCAATCTTGCAGGAGAGAACAGACCAGTAATACCGTCAACAGTTATTCCTATTGAACAGGTCACATTCCCCTTCCAGGAAGACATGAGTATATTTTCAAAATTATCTTCCTTTTTCATGTACAAACAGTGAAATGTCACTACTCCACCCAGTGCTGACAATAAGCTGACAGAATTCAGCTTCATTCCATTGATGCAGTATTTTCTATTACCAAGAACCTGCAGATCTTGAGAAACAGCAAGTTATTATCCAAAAAACTGATATCTCCAACTAAAGCATAGTCTTCTCTTCTTCCCTTCTTGCTTCTTGACACCAGAGTGTGACTTCTCAGGTCTTGATGCAAGCTCCGCTGGCTGCCTACGAATTGCCAGAGCAAATCTACATGCAGTTTGCAGGCTAGATCCAAGACACTCTGAAAGACTGGAGTATTTACAGTCTGGAGGACTGACATCCTTGACCTTGCAGGGTAGGTAACTGCTACAGAAATTTCTGTTTGAAATGATCTAAGACAGCTTTATTGTCTCACTCTCCAGAGACAAAACTCTAGCCAAAAACATCTTGTCAGACACTACCTCTCTTTTGGCATGACATCCACTTCCAGGGATGGCCCTCCAGCACGACCCCACTGAAGTTACCAGAGGTTCATGCCCTACATGCAGTATGCTTTATTGGAGCTGCATGCTTGAAACCTATTTACGAGGCCTTTTTTTCAGTAACATCATCACCCCCAAAAAGAAAGTGGCTGCCAAGAACGAAAGCAGTGAAGGATAAGATACAAACAACACACAAAAGAAAACATGGGCACACAAAAAGCCAGGAAGATAGTGGGAATATTGTTCCGTTACCCATGCTCAGCACTATCTTTCAATACAAGTTCAATACTGCTGCAATAAAGAGCAAACACATCAGAGAAAAACATTTTGAAAGAAGTGACATGACAGGAAGGAAAATAGAGGGCACAATAACTTCCCAATGTGTTAAAATAAAGTGTGAAGCTCTGGTGTGAAATTTCTGCCCGAAGTGACAAAATTGCTTTAAAAAATTGTATGTAGGTTCCTGGGACACCTTCCCCTCACCTCCAAAAAACCCTACCTTGTCTAGCAGGACAATTTGACTAATTTGATATTTATAAAATAATCTGAGAATTCTTAAAGTCCTATATGATGGTAAGACACACTGCTCATATGAAGTTCCTTTTTTCTCTCATTCCTATTCCAATTACTTTTTTTCCCCTTAGAACTGCTGTCTATCATAATCATTGACGTAGAATGGTGTACTGTTTACCAGCAAGCAACAAGAGTGGAAGGGACTGAAAAAATGCATCATCACCCACCAGATGGAAAGTGTTTAAAATAGAAGGAAAAAAAAATCTCGAATTCTTTTCTCATTCTACAAACCCTACAGTCACCCTGAAAAATTAATTTCAAAGCTTTGGCTATCCATCTACTTGACTGAAAAAAAAAAAGATTTGAATAAAGCAACTAACAACTAGTAAGAAAGAGAAATTATTAAAGACAGAAATACAAAGACTAGAAAACAGTATTGAAGTTTATACTAAAATTATGCCTCATTAATAGACTTACTGAGATGTCAAGGTCAGCTGCTAAAAAAGCCTGATAAGGTGTCAACCAAAAATATTTTCTGTTAAAAATATTTACACTTTCTACAAGTGCAAAAATACCTTTTGAAGGCAATCAAATGTTTCAGATCACAGAAACTGAATGCAAGAACTACCTTAAAAGCTGAAAAGCACTATAGGAGCATGCTGGAGTCATTTTCACATAATTAGTGGTTTACTTCTGCAGTAAAAGAAAAAAAAAGTATACTGAGCATTATCTCCAGGCCTCAAAGTGTATTAAAATAATTGAACATTTTGTTAGACAGTCTCCTGGGAAAAGGATGTCATTCCTGTATCTAAATCTAACCTAATGTATCTAATGTAACCTGAATCTAACCTGAGATGCTGAAAAAAAAAAAATTGTTCACATTTTTTAATGTGGCTAATTCAAGATTTTTCAGAAAATTAACTTGAAAAGCTTTTTCTCTTTGCTGAATTGTTAGCCAAACTCTAAATACAGTTCAGTTCCTGTAATCCATACATACACACAAACATAATAAAATACAACTAACGCAATTGTTAGCTCTTGCCTATTTTAAATGATACGTAAAATTTAAGTTACTGTACAACTGATTTGGTAGAATTGAAACTTATACTGATTCTTCATTTTGACCTTCCAACATGAGAATTCAAGGAACTGGCTTTAGGGAAACAAAAGCATTCCAAAGATTTGGTTTTAAAAGAACTTTATTAAAAATATTAACCATCTAACAGAGCAAAATAATTCAAATTAATGCAATCAATATATGAAAAAAATAGCTACTACATTTGTACGAACTTAAAAGATCCTAGTACAGAAAATGTTAAAGCTTTAAGAATTTAAGAAACACTGACAGGTCATCAAGTTGCTCAGGATAAACCCTGCACAAGCTTCATATGTTAAGTGGCATTGTGCCTGCATGTGGGAGCCTGACTGGACACCGGTTCAATGCCACAGGAACAGCAAGTCTGGGAAGAACCCTTCTGTTATTATGTAATCATAAATACTCCACTGCACTAACAGAAATAAATAGAGTCCACAAAATGCACACATTTTGTTATGCCTCCTCTAAGCAGATCTGACCTAGCCTAAACTTTTATCAGTCTGCAGATAGGGGACCAGCCAAACGCTGAGCCATGTATCAGGCCTAGCTGTTGGATCTTTGACCTCACAGTCCGCTCTAGCTGTTACAGGCAAAATATTCACAGCTTCTACAGTCCTAACCTTTAATCGCTTCCTTAGATGTCCAAGGAAGGTCATTCTAGCCCCCTTTAGACTAAAAGCTATTATTTATCAAATTTACCTTCTAAAACATTCTAAGCCTTAATAAAAAGTGTAAACAAGCCCATAAGCACTACTAAGCCAAACCTGACTTTCTTTTCTACATTCCTGGCTTACTTCAGTTTAGCACAGTCTGCACATCGGAGCCCTGGTCCATGACAAGGACTCCTGCCTACAGCTAAGACAGCTACATGTTGGGTCACCAAGAGAAGGGATTTTTCAGGACAATGTCTAGCAGGGTTCCAGCACAAATCTGGCTGTAGCTACGCTTCCCTGTGACACTGGGCACTTGCCAGAGCACTTCCCATGTAATGCCGGGGTGGATGGGAGGATGGTGCAAACTTTCCCTGACACAAAGTCAGAATTTGCCTAGGTATATACATCAAACACGTATATATAAACACATATATAAAAAAAACATAAATATATATATGCACACATACAGACTTAACAGATAGTATATACCTGAAGCTGAGAATTCTGACAGTTTAAAATTTTATACTTATAGCTGTCTGCATAAGAAGTTACTGTATGTTATAGAAGAGAGAGACACAACAGTAAATAGAATGTATATATGAAAGAAAAGTCAGCCCACTTCCTCTATGAGTCAGTGACTGTGTAACTGTCCATTTGGATATTTCTTTAACAGTTTTCTGATACCGGAACTGACAAACCTTAAGTGGCAAGAGCATTGGATCAGACATAACACATAGAAGTTTCCCAACTCTTAGAAAATAAGTAGAGAGACAAAACATTGTTCTCTGTGGTATAAGTCTAAGTATCTAATATTAAATCTACCCACTGCAGTAGTTTCCTTCAAACTGCAACAGATCATATGCATCACGATGACGAGGTTATTTTACCTCATCACTCAGTGGTCTTACTTCTGTTCTCGTTTTTACTCAAATGATTAAAAAGCTTTAAAAAATAATTGCCTATAACTAACTAAGAATTACTTTTGTTAATTCTCACTTTAGAACTGCACTTTTTCTCCTATATTTTTCTTTGCTTACCTGCTATTTTTCTAGTCTTTTTACCTAATGTCCTTTTTGAGATGGGCAGAAGTTCTTTTCAACAGACCTCTTCTCATTATTTGGACATAAATTCCAAACAGATTCTACCTTTGGCATAAAATAGCTTCATACCTTCTTTGCTTCTAGGGCCGTCAGGACTCTACCACTGCTAACATCACTAAGCAATCCTCTTCATTTTTCAAAGTTTGCCCTTCTCAAATTAAGAATTTCAAACCTGTCTCCATTTAGTCCTCTATTTTATTTCTATTTATTTAATCTAACTAAAAATGTGATCCAAGCTGACTATTAAGCCAGTCCTTCTCACATTTTTTTCACACTACTTACTGAGAGTAAGCCTAAAGCAATTCAGTGCTTACTTGGTAAGCTTAC